AAGGAATAAAGAATGAATGAATAAATGAATGAATGAATGAATCAATCAATCAATAAATACCTGATAACCATAAAAGCAGTCTGTGCTTGAGACATTTAATGCAAGCAGGTTAGGGTTACCAGACTAATTCTGGCCAGACGGATGAGTCGGAATGACATATATCACCTTCAGCTCTGATTATACAAATACCTATACAATCTTCTAGCTTTCTCAATGGTGACTCTGAAAAACATGTGTTGGCATGATGGAACCAAGATGTAAACAGCCTATGGCATTGCACGAAGAAGAGGTGATGTGGAGAATGGTCCAACCAGTATTGGACTTTGTGTGAGGGAGATACTAAACTTATGTTGTTTAAAGAATTATGCTAAGTGAAATGAGTCAGATAGTGAAAGACAAATACTGCATGATCTCACGTATATGTGGAATCTAAAACAAACTCATAGATACAAAGCACAGATTGGTGGTTGCTGGAGATGGGAGTGGATGAAATTGGTGAAGGAGGTCAAAAGGTGCAAACTTCCAGGTTTAAGGCAAATAAGTTCTGGGGATGTACAATAAAGCATGATGATGTGACTATACCTAACCATACTGTATTGTATATTTGAAAGTTGCTAAGCAATTAATCTTAAACATTCTCATCCTAAGGAAAAGAATTATGTGAGGTGATGGGCGTTAACTAAACTTGTGGTAATCATTTCACCATATATACATATATCAAATCATGTTGTACACTTTAATACAATGTTATATATCAATAAAAAAGTGGGGGAAAAAAAAAGGCCTGAAAGCTTTCAGGGTTTCTTTGTTAACACAGCATCATAGTCTACCATTTTCTGATAAATATAGAGTTTTTTTAAGTTTAAGTAATAATCTCTATACTCAATGTGGGGCTTGAACTCATGACCCCAAGATCAAGAGCCACATGCTCTACCAACTGGGCCAGCCGGGTGCCCCTGATAAATATAGAAATTGACATGAGAAATGAGGTGCTTAGTTTTCCTGGATGATCAATAGTGAAAGACAAGAGAATCCTGTTGAAGACTCAGCCAACAGTTAGCACTTCCGCTTCTGGCCAAGTTGGAGTAGCGGGACCAGATTTACCTTGCCACTTGAAAAAAAATATGTGAAAAAGCAGGTGTCAGCACACACAACAAGAGGCAAAAAAGGCCAGTGCTCCCTGAGAGTGGGAAACTAACAAGGTAATCCTCAGCTTACTGCCTTGAGAGAATTTTCAGGCCATAAAGAAGTACCAGGAAAGAGAGACCTGCATGGAGAGAGAATTCCAAAGATGTTCAGAGGGTCCTGCTTGAGTATTTAGTAGAGTATTGATTAGCACATGTATATGAGGAACCTACCCAAAGTCAGGGAATGAATCACTCAAAAAGGTAAGAGAAATATTACCTAATGCTCACTCAGTCCTGGGAATAGTGCCTCTTCTCACTAGCCAGACTGGAAAACCTCATAATCTTGGGAATTGTATAGAGTACTCAGAAGGATCTTGGCTTAGTTGTGGGAGATATTTATCACTAGCCTAAACCATTGTTTTTTTCCTGCCCAACAAATCTTAAAAACAAGACTCAAATGGATCAAAATGCCAGGTAACATGAATGCATGACAGGAAAAAAGTCCAGAATATTTATAGAAATACAAAAATAACCATCACCCAACAAAGTAAAATTAGCAGTATCTGGCATCTGATAAGAAATTATCTGCATACAAAGATGCAAGAAAATGCAACTCCAAATGAGGAGAAAAATCAATCAATGAAAATCAAACCAGGACTGACCCAGATGTTAAAATTAGTAGACAAAGCAAGACTGAGAAAAAAAAAAATAATTAAAGGCGCATCAGTGAACTGTGGGAAACTTCAAATGGTATAATGTACGTGTAACTGGAGTCTCTAATATTTTAGTAGACAATGGCTCAGATTTTTCTCTTTTGATTAAAATATGCAGATCCCAAAAGTTCAATGAATCCCAGGAAACATGAACAATGTAATACCAGGGCACATCAGATTGCTCAAAACCAAGGATAAAGAGAAATTCTTAAAAGCCACCAAAGGAAAAATGCATATGATATACATGGGAACCAAGAAAATGATCCAGCAGATTTCTCATCACAAATAACGTAGGAGAAGATAGAAGACAGTGCGGTAACATCTCTAAGGTTCAATTTAGAATTCCACACACAGCAATAATATCTAGCAAAAATTAAGGAGATCAAAAGGTGTCCAAAGATACAAATTTCCAGTTATAAGACAAAAAAGTACTATCCATTTAATGTACAACATGATTGATGAGGAGAATGAAAGCAAAAGAAATATGGATAAAATTAAATTAATGTACAACATGATTGATGAGGAGAATGAAAGCAAAAGAAGTGTGGATAAAATTAAATTTCCTTACAACCTGCAGCCCACTGAGACAGGCAGAGTAGGAGATTCCTCAATAAACAACTGTTTATTTATTTATTTATTTTAAAGATTTTACTTATTTGAGAGAGAGAGAGCCCAAGCTGGGGGAGGAACAGAGGAAGAGGCAGAAGCAGGCTCCCCACTCAAGAGGGAGCCACTACCCGGGCTCAATCTCAATCCCAGGACCCTGAGATCCATGACCTGAGCCTAAGGCAGAAGGCAGACGCTTACCGCTTAAACGCTTAACTGACTGTGCCACCCAGCTGCCCCACTCACAACTGTTTTAATGTTAATGCTTTGATAGAGGCAAAAAGTAACCTTAGCTTGACAATAGCTAGACCTCCAGGATCCTGTAAGTCCTCTTTAACATATGCAAACCCTTTCCGAAACTTCCTTTGTCTTTAACCCCCTCCCCCAACTTAAAAGTATATAATCAATTGCTCCTCACAATCCCAGTGCAGCTTTTTCTGCCCATGGGTCCTGGCCCTGAGCTTTAATAAAAACCCCTTTTTGCACCGAAAACATTTCAAGGTTTCTTTCTTGATCATTCCCTCTTGGCCCACATCACATCAATGATGATTATGATTAACACTGCTGTATGATATATAGGAAAGTTGTTAAGAGAGTATATCCTAGGAGTTCTCATCACAAGGAGAAATTTTTATCCTTTTTTTCATTCTTTTTTTTGGTAATTGTATCAATATGAGAAGGTGGACGTTACCTGAACCTATTGTGGCAATCATTTCACAATACATATAAAGCAAACCCTCATGCTGTATGCCTTAAATATATACTGTGATGTATGTCAATTATTTCTCAGTTCAACTGGAAAAAATATAGTTAATAAAATTGCATGATAGGGAAAAGATTAAGGAGAAACAAAGACTTTTATAATATAAAAAATTGATAAGATTAAAATCAACAGACCAAAGTATAAGAAATGTTAATGTCATTTAGGCAAAAGGAAAATGATACTAGGTGGAAATATGGATCTGCACAAAGAAATGAAGAGCACCAGAAAATGTAAAGGGCAAAATAACAAAAGCTTCTGCACGTTTACAAACTCAAAACTATAAAACAAGGTAAATGCAAAGAAGGCTTGTTTCCATGTCTTCTCCACCCTAGTCTTTTCTTCACTCTCCTTCGGCTAGCTATTTAAATTTAAATTAATATTATGTATGTCCTTTTATTGCTTCCTTTGGAGAACATAGCATATACAGGTGTTTATATACAATGGGTGTATATTTACATATGTTTGCATATGTATATGCATACATATATATATTTATAGGATGTATATATTTACATATATACACAAATATATGTGTATATATATTTAAATAGCATTTTAGTGACATAAGATAGTCCTTAAAAAAGATATTCAAATAAGTATGGAGGAAATGCTGTATAGCAAATCCACGTCATTGACCACCTTAACCTATTGGAGATTAAAATACATAAAATATATTAAACTATTTTAACAATTCTGCATTAAAGAGATCAGTTTATTTTTGTTTAATCCAGTGTTTCCCAAACATTGTTGAAACCTCTCCTCCCTCAAAAAATGCTTTCCCATATAGAATAGTGCAGTTTTGAACTTTAGTGCCTGAATTGTGATTTTGTAATACTTTCATTTTATTTTCTGTTGGATGGAAAGGAAGAAAGCTGGAATAGATATGTTTTACAATGTAGCTACATCTGCATAGCACATAAGCAAAACTATGTTGTCAACATTTATATTCATAATTTCATAATGATATATCTGCATGCAAGAAAAAATGCAAGGGAAATTTCTAGTGATAAAATTTATCGTCAAGCATTTATTTAAAAACTATAAATTCTTACATATAAATTTTTATTATCTATAAATTTTTGATAATCCATTTTATGCTCATTCTTCAGTAGAATACTTTTTGCCTTAATGTCTATATGATGGAAGTCTGCAAAAGACGCCATCAGTTCAATGTTTTTGGAATTAAACTTCACATATTTATTATTTTTCATGGAAATGACAATCTGATATTATTCAAATGTTGATTTCATTATTTACATCCTTGTAGAACATTCTTAAAAATGAATACTACACATGTAGTACTGTTTCAACCTTGAGTTCATAAAATGTAAAAGCTAAGAGGACAAGAGAATCTCCATCATTGTGCTATTTCTTTTATATGAAATACCTTGGTTGTGCGTTTTGGGAAGTGCTAGCCCAAATATGGGGGCAGGGTGGGGAAAGCTGTGAGATGTTGCGAAGTACATTTATCACGTCTTAGTGATGAAGACCAAGCAACTCCCAAACACCGCCCTTCTGGACCCACCCCCCCCCCCCCCTCTTTTTTCCCCCCCCCCCCCCCCCCCCCCCCCCCCCCCCCGCCAAAGGGAGCTAAGCCTTGGCAAGATACAGCTTCAAGTTTTCCTTTTTCGTCCACTCCTATCACTACCCTGGAGGATAGCCTGGCTAAGGCGTGATTCTTAACTGCATGCTGAAAGTCCAGATTGAATTTATACAAATGAGTCTATCAGATTTAGCTCCCAGATACCTTAGGATGAACCAGAGAAATCAGATCCCAGCCGGTTCTTTCTCAGCATGTATTTCGTGTCAGCCGCGGGGGGCCAGACTTTGCTATGCATTTCGTTATGCGCCTTGACGCACTGGTCTTTAAAAGTCTGGTCTTCGATAGAGGGGACTTTAGTAGACGATTTACTGGCTACCAGAGACCTAACGTCCATAAGCAACTCAGTTTTTTCCTCAGAACCATGGCGGGATGCAGAGTATGCTCTGACTTCGTGGACCAGTAACGGTTCTGTCAGCCAACTTACTTGGCCCCTGGGGACCACGCTCTCTGCTGGCTCCATCCTCCCACACAAGCTTGAGCTCAGCGTTGGGGATGCTCAGCAGGCTGGGCCCCAGAGGGCAGGGCCAGAGCCTGAGGCAAGACAAACAGCAGGATTAGCCCATCACAAAGCCCTGGGCTACAGGAGAAAAGCCTGAGTCACTGTCTGGTGCAGGGTTTTAACCATCCAGGGCGCTTTCTGCGGACCCAACCCAGAATCACTTCGGGGGGACCCTGAATTGCAATCCAGATCACAACAAATAGGCGGCACAGTGTTATGTAAAAAGGCAACATGTATTAAATGCTGAAAACGAACCAGGCCTGTACAAAACTCTATATATTAGTTACACATACTCAGCTTTCATATATAGTTTCATTGTTTTAAATAAACTGCAGCATTATACTGCCCATATCTCCAGAAATTGGTACTAAAGCAAGAATAGGCATTTTGTATACTCCACATACTGTGATTAATTGTTTTGCGGAGCACTTAATAATTTGTGTTTGTTTTCTCATTTGGAGACAGACTGCCTAGAAAGATAAAAATAGAGAGGTGTAGCCAAGTAGTTCCTCTAGACAAAATCTCATACTTGATATTTGAGTTTGGAACAAACCTATGGTTTGGTTACTAGTAAATGTCTGAGAAAGGATAGCTTTAGTGGGCATTCTAAAGACTAAGGCAGAGTACATTTGATCTTATTTTACCTACATTGCAATATAAACCAACTTCATTTGGCTTAATATTTTAAATCCATTATATCAGTTGTTATTTAATAACAAACCAGCATTTTTTTTTGTGTGACATTAAATGACATTTTCCAGTATTTCTGTGTTTCAAATAAATATCTTTATTTGATGATTTGAGGTGGCTTACAATGCCACTTAATTCAAGTAAATACATATTTATAGCTACTGAATATTCTAGGTGATAAATCTTGCCACTAAAAAAAAACTTTGATGCAACTAGTTACCATTTTTAAATAGAAAATAGAAAATTAGGGGGTACCTTGCTGGCTCAGTTGGTGGAGCATGCGACTCTTGATCTTGGGGTTGTGCATTCAAGATCCATGTTGGGTGTAGAGAGTACTTAAAAATAAAATCTTAAAAAAAAAAAGAAAGCAGAAAATCAAATTATAAAATGTGAGAAAAATACAAGGATCTTTATGGAAATTCTGTTGAGTAGTGGAGAAAATATTTGTCTGCCTCCGCTGATGGAAAATTGCAATATATGTGACTTTAGCATTACTTACAGAGTTCAAACTGAGCTTTTCATATCCCATACCCCAATCTGGATCCTTCCACAATTTCCCTATCTCAATTAATTACAGCTTCATCTTTTTGATTTCAGCCCCGAAACTTTGGAGGCTTTGGTCTCTTAGCAAATTCTGTTGCCTTTGTCTTTTTATTTTCAGAACTTGATCACTGCTCAGCATTTGAAATGACACTCCTTGATTTCATGGATAATTGCAATGGCTTCCTGGTGGAGTTTCCTTCTCCTGCTCCTAACCTATAGTTTATTCTCAAGACAGCAGTCAGAGGGATTGCATATAATCTTTAGCATACTAAATACTTTTGAGTGTCTCTTATATTCTAGGCATTATTTCTGATGCTTGGGATTCCCACCATAAGAAATAAAACAAAGCAATCTGCCTTTCTGGAATTCTAGTGAAGGGAGGCAGAGAATAAATGATAAGCATAATAAATTCTATAGCATGATAAACCTGATAATATATATGGAAAAAATAAATCAAGCTAAGGAGTTTGGGAGCACTGGGGTGGGTGTGGAGGTGAGGGTGGCAGGTTGTGATTTCAAATAGGGTGATCAGTGCAGATGTCTTTGAGATGGTGACTTCTGAGCAAATACCTGGAGGAGACGCAAGAGGGAAGCATGTGGCTACTGGAGGAAGAGTGTTCAAGGAAGAAGGAGTTCAAATACAGGATGGAACTATAATACTTGGCAAAAATCATGTGGGAGATGGGCGAGCTTACTGATCATAGCTGAACTATTGTAAGGTCCTTATATTCCTGGGGAAGAGTAGAAATATGGAGTAATTTTGACTTTGTTAAGTGAGGCATGCATGTTAAACATTTAAGAATAACTATTAAAAAAATAAGAACACCAAACCATAGAGGGAAAACAAGTTTTTTGAACATTTCTAGGACCTCATTCAATTGTCTCTATGTATATTTATCTTCATATTCAAATATTTAAATACAAATTCTCAACACAACATCCCAAATGATCCTATTAGATATAAGTCAGATCACTCCTCTGCTCAAAACCTCCCAATTGATGGCTTTCCATGGCAGTCAAAACAAAACCCCAAGGTTATCCTCACTATTACCTTCAAGGCCCTAACGAGGAGGCCCTTTTCTGATCTCATCTACTTCCCTTCACTTCCTTTTCTCTCCTCCAGGTACTCTGGCCCCTTTATTGTTCCTTAAAAAAAAGTGAAGGTCCTGCTGCCTCAGGGCATTTTCTCATTTCTTTTGCCTAAAACTCTTTCTTCTAGAGAGCGACGTGGCTAGTTTCTAATCTCTTTGAAATATTTGCTCAAATATCGTCTTTTCCAAATACCTCACAGTGGTGTTTTGCATTACCCATCCTACACCTATGGCCTCCTATTGTCCTTTTTCTGCCTTATATTTGCCCATAACCCTTATCCTCATATCATATGTAATTTATTAACATTTTCATTTCTCCCTTCAATTGAGTGGAAGCCCCATGAGGCAGGGATTGCTTATTATTATTATTTTTACTCCTGTATCCCCAGCATCTCAAAAAAGTTCAATATTTGATGAACAAATTAATGAATGAATCTTTTAAGACCCCAATCATTAGTTCCTTTTATGAAGTCCTCCAATTAGAAGGAATCTTTTGTCGTTAAATCACTTCATGATCCTATATCTTATTACTTTATTTCTCTTTTCCCCTCTGTTTTGGAGTTATCCAGAGAAACAGAACTAATAGACATATATTCCCACCCCACTCCCTTTTACACACACAGGTACATACACACAGATTTTAAAGAAATTGACTCCCACAATTGTAGGAGCTAGCAAGCCTAAAATCTGTAGGGCAAGCTGACAGGCTGAAGATTGGGGTAAGAGTTGATGCTGTAGTCTTGAGTCTGAAGGCTAGAAACTCAGGCAGAATTTCTGTGTTGCACTCTGGAAGCAGAATGCTCTGGGAACCTTGTCCTTTGGGGGTACTTTTGGAGACTTCACCACAAACGCAAGATTGATTAACTCCTTGGCCGTTGTTGATTAATTCAACTTCTAGCCCCTGTCACCTCCTAGGAGGCCTGAGGGTGGGACTGAAACTGCCAACTCCAATCACAGGCTTGGCTTCACTGGCAGCCAGCCTCCATCCATAGGTGATTTCTAATAGTCACCTCATTAAAATAACAAAAGAATGTTCCTTGCTCTTAGCATTTAGGAAAATTCCAAGGGTTTTTGGAACTCTGTGCCAGAAACCGGGAGGAAGATCAAATATACATTTCTTATGATAAATCACAATATCACAGCCTCCCTTCTTTCCAAAACCTCTGATGACTTTCTGTCACACTTATAAAATCCAAAATCCTAGGTTTGGTCCACAAGGCACAATTTAATCTGACCATGGCTAATCTCTGCCCTCTAGTCTACATTCTCCACTGGCTCACCTGGCCTGCCTCAGCCACATCTATCTGCTTGAAAAGGATGCTCTATCCCCAAGGCTTTTGCACTTGCTATTCCCTTTGTCTGCAGAATTCCCCTCAGCAAAGCCATACATGATCCTACAATTTGTCTTTGCTGTCAGTGTCTCTCCAGTAACCTGTTGTATTTTTCTTCACATTAATTGCTACCTGAGATGATATTATTTATTTATTTATTTATTTATTTATTTATTTATTTATTTAATGTTTGTCACCTCAGATTTTAACCTTCACTGAAACAGTGGTTTTATTTGCTTTATTACTATATCTATCTACAGATCCCAGAACAGCTACTGAACACTTATGCCCTCAATAAATATTTATTAATGAGGAAATGAGTACTCCTTAACTTTCTAATAATGTTGTATACAATTGTAAGCTTCTTTAAGAACTATCTTATTCATCACATACATACTAGAGGCTCAATAAATATTTTAGACTCAGTTTGAAAGGCAATAAATACTAGGTTGGCTTATATACTTTATTTTTTCTAACACTGGATATATTTGCAGATAGTAGGTGTTCAATGGATGTTTGCTGACCTTCAAATGCAGATTATTTTAGATCTGCAAATAATCTAGGTTAACACATGGCTAATTTAGTATTGTTTTGTGTATGAAGAAATTAATTGGCTGTAATAACAGCAGAACTTTTATGATTAATTGTTTTGAAAATTGGCAAAAATGTACAATTTATATGTATGGGTTAAAGGCAGGCTACCCCCAAAATGTGCCACACTGTTATACTGATTATTTTAAATAAAAGTTACTTAGAAAACAGCCAATGAAGAACACTCCTACCTGCTCCCTGCTTTGTTTCCAGAAAGCAAGAAATAAATGTCCCATGTGAAAGGTACCCTTCCTATATCAGGAGGTAAGAGACATCCTTATTACCAGAGAGGAAATTTAGAGCCCAGAAGGCTGTATAAACCACCCTTGTTACTTTTTACTAATATACTATCCCAGCCCAAATTCTGCTTAGAATAATTTACTAAAGTCCCAAAGTTAAGTTTTCTTTGTTTTCTCAATACTTCACAGATTTATTGTCTCTTTGTCCAAAAAGTATAAAAACAGCCTGCTTTGGTCATTTCTCTAGGTCTCAATTTCGTTATTGGGCCCCTGTGTGCACATGCCTTGTCTTTTTCCCTTTTGTCTGTCTTGTGTCAGTTTAATTCTTAAACCAGCTGGAAGAACTCAAAAGGTAAGAGGAAAATGTGTTTCTCCTCTCTCTATATAATCAATAATAATCCAGTATTATTGCTTTTGTAATAGACACTATGTCTGGATTGTATAAAAGTGCTTTTTAGACCATATTCTTAACGGCTTAGAGAACTATATTCAGGAATACTGAAGCTATTTAGGTGTAATAAGTTTAAGTGCCAGGAAGAATACGTCCTCATGTTATTTTCTTGAATATTTATCTGTGGAATGGGCGAGGTTAGTTGGGCACTGGAATTGTTTAAGTTCTTTAAAAACTTTTTACAATTTGAAGTTGAGTTTTTTGTTTCATTTTTACTTTCTTTTTCCAGTTTAATTTTGCTTTTCTTTCTGTGAGGGGGGAATGGGTGGATGAATTTTATATAGGGAAGAAATAGAAGGAGTTAATTACCTTATACACATTGCAAATATATTTGTATTTTTACTCCAAAACTGACTCCAACCTGCAAATTTAGATAAATACATTTTAGGGGAGCTAACTTTGAAAAGACTCTCTAGATTAGAAAAACAACTTGATTTTTGTGGTTGGAAAACTGGATTAGGCTTCAGAGGGTCTTAGTTCTACTTTGAGTATCTGACACTTGGCTGTGTAATTCAGAAAAGTTATGGGTATATTACAGTGGAATGGAACCCAAGAAATTTCTCAAACCAGACCATTCCTTTTATTGATGAGTTGATGACCAAAGACATAGTATGCAGAGCAAAGAATAAAATGGAAATTTCCTGATTCCTAGGCTTGTTCCCTTTCCATTGTATTAGTATTTTCATTTATATCTCTATACATCTATATATCGATGTATCTATAATTATATCTTTCTCTATAATACTATGAAGCAGTCTTGTCTTTTTAAATAATCGCAAGTTCCTTGAGAGTGGGTATTACAACATAATTTTTCCCCTCATAACATCTCTCTGGGATCTGAACTCCTGGTAGATGCTCTATAAAATATGTTAAATAGAACTCACTTAAAGAATTATACAACAGCCGTCTGGGTCCGGGTCGGGCTTTGGCTCTCTCTCTCTGAGTCGAAGAAGCCCAGATGAGTGAGTCCTCTTCCAGATCCCCGCCGGGATTTAGAGACGCCCCGGAACTAGTCCCCGGATGAGGCTCAGAGGCCCCTACAAGGTTTTCAACACTGCCCTCCGGTAAGTACCTTGGCGGGGTAGCTCGCGGCGCGGGCCGGGTTTTCGGAGGAACGACCCTACACAGCATGGGGCAGAAGATGGCGTGGAGGGAACGAAAGATTTGGGCCGATGATCATCTCTTCCCTGGAAGTGGGAGAGGGTTTGGAGGCCCAGCGTGGGGACGCCTGTTGCTAGGCCCAGCGTGGGGACGCCTGTTGCTAGGCAACCTGCAGCCGCGGGCCTGGGCTTGTTGGAGTCTACTGGGAACTGTACCTTTCCAGCTTGTCCTGTCTGGAGGTTCTCTGTGAAATTGCCCCCGTTGGTACCTTTTTCATCCTTCCCACTGTGGACCTGCTCTTTACCCAGCTTATTGGGTCAAGTCAGGTTGGCTGTCCCGTGTGCCCCACCCCAGTCCATGAATCTAAGATAGGAAGGGGGCGGAGCATTAGTTGTACTTTGCAGGTGCATTGATGTATAATCTTAACTTTGTGGGGAGTGGATGCACAGACAATTACTATGAAATTAAGAATGATGCCAGGTTCATTCAGATACTTGGGTCTGTTATCACCTGGGCCCCAAGATAAACTTGGTCCTCACCTGCATGGAGGTTAAATACTAAAACTTTTCCCTCTTTCCTTGATTATGGGATGGATTGGATCAATTTATTCTTCACTTTCCATTATCTTCTGATTTGGTGTAAACAACTTATAGCCACTAATGTCACTAACCAAGAGAGAACTGGTGATAATTGCGATTGGAAATAATCATCCTTAAAAAATGAGAGAAGTGGGAGGTGAGTTCAGTTCTTTTTGGTAGCAATAAAGATAATATGGTAAGATTTGAATCTGTTAGTCAACAATATTCATTACATGCTAGCTGTAATATCTCATGACTTGGCAGCAGTTTGGGTGGGGACAGAGCCATTCAGAAGTACTTTTCCCTGCTCCTACCACCTACCACCAACATACCCCAACTGTATATTCCATGCTATAGGACCAGGACAAACTTTGGTATGCATTCCAAAGATCTGTTCACATGTCATTTATTTAAAATTCTGATTCTTTTGCCACCAAGTTTAGGTTTCTGGTGCTCTTGAGTCTCTGCAGCTAACTCCCCTCTTTCTTCTGTCCTGTATAAGCAAGGGTGTAGTATTAGAAAGAGGTCTGAGACTGGTGTAAATTCATGCTCGGTAATAACTGGCAAATAATTTGGCAAAGTACATGTGCCCGTTTTGAGGTCTCAGATTCCTCAGTTTGAAAATCAGAAGGTTGAGCTGTTTTATCTCTGCAGTCCTGTCCAAATCTTAAGATTCTTTTGACATCAGGTGTCAGTAGCCTCACAGCTCTAATTCTGGATTGTAATAGATTGTGGAGTGTTCCACAAATGATGGTTGCCCCTTGAATATTCCTGTTATAGCCAATGAATCATTTGTATGCTACATAATTCTGAAATAACTCCTATCTGAGTTGACTGAATTCACTTACTTAACAAATATTTAAGTTCCTACTGTTTTCTAGGCTTTCTGTTAAATGCTGAGATACAAGATGAACAGAACCATAGTCCTTGCCTTTATGAGGCTTACAGTATAGTGTGAAGAGTAATAGTTACCATTCATGCTTTGAATGCCTTATGTATTGTTTGAGGACAGAATTTATGTGTGGCTTTGTGATCCTGTCATAGTTAGGTTCAGAGAAAGGACATGAAGAATATGTTTAAAATGTGTACAGGGGTTTGTGCATTAATTTCTTTATTGACTAAATAAATATTTATTTAAGTATCTGCTATATTAAGGACATGAGATACCAACCTTCATGGACTTGACAGTTTATTAGGGACATGAAAAGAGTTAATTACAAGTGAAGAATGATGACTGTCAAGCTTGGGGAAGTACAGGGACTAGAAGATCCAGGAAAGAGGACTTAAATTTTGTTGTTTTTGTTATCTGCAAATGAATGATGGTTATTTAAAGTGACCTATAGTGATTTGAAATGGCTACAGTAGTTTCTAAGGTATAAATAATTGTGCGGTTGATGTGTGGAGAAAATCACTTAGCTGATTGCTCAGCACCTCTGTTTCAACTTGGGTTTGTTGGCTGTTGATCTTCATGGCAAGTACAACAGCTTTTGTGATGTGATTAAAAGCAAACAACAATCTTCTCTCCACCCCCCACCGAAACAATAACAACTTTAAAAAAGTTGCTTCTTTGTGAAAGATAACTCAGAAAAAAAAAAGTCAAATTATTTTTAAATCGAATGATTTGTGTTGTTTTCAGGATATGTCTACTGTTGGTTGGTTACTCCTAGAGTAGAAATCTAGTCTTGGGGTGTGGGGCTTTAGGGGAGGGGGCTATGGAATTGGGTAAATGGAGCCATACAGATAAATTAGTGAAGAGCTGGGATATCTTTCAGGATTTCACTGGGCCTGCAGTAAAACTGCATTTTAATAGTAACAATGATGGCTACCATATATTGAATAACCATGTTCTACCTAATATAGGAAGATGAGAAAGGTGCTAACATTAAACTCATTTTACACCCTAGAAATATTGGCTCTGAAAGATTAAGTTCTTACCCAAGCTTACATTACAAGGAAGTATCAAAAATGAGGATTTTAATGTCAGTCTCTCTAACTCTATGCTGACACAATGCCATGCTATCTTTCCCTAAACATTAAGAAAAAAAGTTTACTATTAAAATAAACCCAAGTCTAATAATAGAAAAAGAAAGTATGAATTGTTAAACAACGTATCCTCAGTGATAAAAGATTGAAGTGTAAAAATCTTCAAAATTTGCATGACTGAGATATTCACCTGATTTTTGTTTTGTACATTTTTGTTCAAGTTGATTGTTTTCAACCTTCTCTTACATGCATTTTTACCAGTCGCCTCATAATTGCTAATTGGACCATCCATTCTATTTTATTCTTTGTATCAGAGAATACTGTTTGCATAACACATTTTTTCATCTGCTTACTCCAGCAAAATCAAAACTCATAAAGGTTTAGGAAGAGAGTAAAGAAAATAAATTTACATCACTTTGAAGTACAAGCATTCATTTCCTATTACTAGTGTAAAAAATTACCACAAACATCGTGGTCTGAAACAACATAAACTTGCTATTTTACAGTTCTGGAGGTCAAAAGTACAAAATGAGTCCTACAGGGCTAAAAATAAAATATATATCAGCAAGGTTGGTTCCTTCTGGTGGCTCCAGGGGAAAATTCATTCCTTGCCTCTTCTAACTTCCAGAGTCTGCTCATGACCTCTACCTCCATTCTCAAAGCCAGCTATCTAGTATCTTTACTCCTCTCTGACCTGGCTTTCCTTCTTACATCCTCTCTTTCTTACTCTGATCATCCTGCCCCCCTTTTATAAGGACCCTGGTGATTACATTGGGCCCTCCAGATAATCCAGGATAATTTCCACACCTCAAAATTCTTTACATAATCACATCTGAAGAGTCTTCTTTGTCATGTAAGGTAAACATATTCAGAGTCCAGTGATTAGGACACAGACACCTTCAGAGGAACCCTATTCAGACTAGCATTTACCCCATAAATGTTGCCCCACATAATGTAGTTGCCCCACATAATGTAATTGCCCCACAAAAAGTTGATTTTGGTGAAAGAAAGTAAGAATGATTAACCACATGATTTCTTTCCATGAAGTAGTATTATGTAGCTTGTATGGCTAGTTTAAAATTAGAGTAAGAGTTATCATTTTGTATGTTTTTTACCCTTTTCAAAGTATACTGCAGACGTGAACTTGAATGGATTTAGAGGTTAAAGGCATTGCTGCTTCTCTTACGAGTCAAACTCAGCCTTTCACTGGAAGAAACAAGCTGCTGCAAGTACGTGTGCTATATAATTTTCCTCTCATAGGATGATTCATTAAATAATTTTCTGACTCTTTTATTCATGTTTATGACAACTTATACTCACAAATATTTAGGATCCATATTTCCTAGATTTGAAGAACTGAGTGGCCAAAATTGAAGATAATCATTATTTCAAAGTGGGTCCTTCCTTGAATTAGTTTTATTTTTAAAAATCAGGCTTATTATTATTGTCTTCATATTCTTATTTAAATAATTATCTGTGTGTATCTGCAGAAAATATAAAAAATAAGGATAGTAGAAAGAAGAAGAGAATATCAGTATACATCTTGTGTTAGCTAGGTAGAAAGAGAATCAGAGCTTTGGGGCTCCTGGGTGGCTGTCATTAAGCGTCTGCCTTTGGCTCAGGTCATGAGCCTAGGGTCCTGGGATCAAGCCCCGCATTGGGCTCCCCGCTCAGCGGGAACCCTGCTTCTCCCTCTCCCACTCCCCCTGCTTGTGTTCCCTCTCTCTCTGTGTCTCTCTCTGTCAAATAAATAAAATCTTTAAAAAAAAAAGAGAGAGAATCAGAGCTTTTATTATTAAAACTTTTATTCTTCATAACCTTCATAATATCACCACTGTGTATGTATATGTCATTGATGAAGTACAAGGTTATAGCTGCTTTGTCCTTGTTGCCACCGTAGAATTGGGTATATATAAACTTTAGTTTAGAAATATATAAAAGTGATACATATTTCCTTGCTATTCTTTTTTAAAAAAATATTATTTATTTATTTATTTATTTGAAAGGGGGGGCATGAGCAGATGGGAGGGAGAAGGAGAAGCAGACGCCCCATTGAGGAGGGAGCCTGACATGGGGTTCTGTCCCAGGACTCTTGAGATCATGACCCAAGCCAAAGGCAGACGCTTAACCAACTGAGAGATCCAGGTGCCCCATACTCAGCTTTTTAAATAAAAGGCCAGCTAGTAAATATTTTTGGCTTTTTATAGGTTCTTGTTTCTGTTGCAGCCACTTAACTTAGCTGTTGTAATGAGAACACATAGACAGTTCATAAATAAATAAATAAATGGTTGCATGTTCCAATAAAACTTTATTTATAAAACAGAACTGAGCCATATTTGCTGACCCCTGGACCAGGGATTTATAAACTATCATTTATCTTTCTTCTGATTGGCTAGCATAATTTTGTTGGAATTAGACAAGGTAACTGCCATTCTGAAATAGGTAGTCTGTGACTTCAAGGCTTTAAGTCTGTCAAAACACTTTCTGGGGGATAATCATGGTGATGACCTTGACTATGACAACTACACTTACATTCTACTTAGATTTTCTTCCTAAAGTTAAATGGTATCCTGACGTTTCCCAAACACAATTAAGAAAATCTTTGGGGCGCCTGGGTGGCTTAGTTGGTTAAGCATCTGCTTTCGGCTCAGGTCATGATCCCAGGGTCTTGAGATCCATCCGCACATCGGGCCCCATACTCATCTGGGAGTCTGCTGCTCCCTCTGCCTCTCCCAACTTGTGCTCATGCTCTCTCTCTCGAATTAATAAATCAAATCTTAAAAAAAAAAAGAAAATCTTTGATATGTGATAGAAGTGTGCTGCTACTTTAGGCTATGATATGTATGTCATTTATATAAAGTTGACCCTTAAACAACTCAGGTTTGAACTGCATGGGTCCACTTATATGCAAATGTATTTTCTCTTCTTTATGATTTTCTTAACATTTATTTTCTCTAGCTTACTTTATTGTAAGAATGCCATATAAAGTATATACGAAATATGTGTCAATTGACTGTTACCAGTCAAGAGTAGGCTAGTAGTAGTTAAGTTTTTGGGGAGCCAAAAGTTATACATGGATTGTTGACAGTATGGGAGAGGTAGCTGGCACTCTTAACCCCAGCATTGCTCAAGGGTCAACTTAATATATATATAATTTTATGATTTTACATTTTTACATTTTTAACTTTCTATTAGGATAGTATTTAAAATAATGCCATATTAAAGCTTATACTGAATTGAATTTGTTTTTTCTTTTATGATCAATTAGAGTGATGCAGCTCAGTGTTGAATGTAATTTCTGTACTTGCTATCAGTACCACAAAAATGACCAGTTTTCAGAAGTAAGCCAGAAGTGTTGATGCATGAATTGTTTCCTGCCCTTATTAACTTGAATTTTCTCTATGGCTCATATATATTTCTTCTATAGTGTCTGAGCTCACTCTAATTTTCATATCTTTGCATAATTTTTTGGAAGTAAGACTGAACATCTGCAAATGTATACATATATATATTTGTCACTTCTTTGCTTAAATCCTGCAGTTTTCCCATTACCTTTAGGACAAGGTCCAAGTTCTTTGACTTGTATTATTATGTAACAGCTCTGGCCCCACTACCTCCTCACACTCTGGATTTCAACCCTCTCTAGCTGCTAACTCCTGCCTGTGGGCTAGTGCATGATGAGTTGTTCCTCCTGGCTAAAGCAGTTTTCTCCTGTCTTTATCTGGCTAACTCCTACTCATCCTTCAGAGTTCCATTTAAAGGTTACTTTTTTTTTTGTTTTTTGGAATGCTTCCTCAATTTCCTAGACTTGTTGGGTAAAATGCTATATGTAGTTGCTCAGGCATAGCACGTGTTTTTTTTCACATTATTGAGTAAATGTCTTGCCCAGCAGGCAGAACACCACGAGGATAAGGATTGTCTGTGTTGCTTTTCATCCTATCTCTGTGTCTCAAGCATAGTAGAGAGAGGCTTAGTAAATATTTCTTATATGGAGTTTACTGAAAATGATGATCAGCTTTATTGCATTGACTCATTGCTTATCTTTTAAAGTATACATAAAGGTTATATATGTACTGATTTTTTCTTTTTTTAATTAAAGCAAGGACAGACTTCCAGGTCATGGGCAATCCAGAATCCTAGCCTACCTGTGTAAGTCACATTTCTTTACACTTGAGCTATTTAATGGGTAATTATTTATAATATATTAAGCAAAAAATGAAAGCAAAATTATATGTAGTTATGATTGTGAACCACAGAAAAATTGATGTGCATGTGGATGGCCTGAAAATTGCTATGCCAAAATTAAAGTAGGGTAATAGGAAGGAGGGTAATACTTCTCTTATTTGTATTTTCTTTAATATTCTTACATTTTCTTGAAAAAGTTTATTGTTTTATTTAGAAAACTCAGCTAAATGAATTTGTTAAAGAAATATGTGAAATTCTGAATTTTATAACTGGGATAGTCAAAATGAATTTAATGGGAAGTATCTGTGGCTTTAATCTTACCTTGATGATTATGACAATTTTATCAATCTTCTTTAAATGATTTTATTTGTGGACTAGACTACAGTAATTTATGTTTTATATTTTACATTTTTGCCTTTTAAGATTTGGAAGGATATGACTTTTATATTCTTTCAAGTATTTTAGACTGCAGGGCTTATTGGAAAATAGAAGTTAAAAACCTAGTACTTTATTAGGCTGAACCATATGAAGTTGACGTTTTTATCGATGAAAAATGAGCAAGTATCAGCAGTTTCATGTGGTTCTACATAACAGATACCTGTATGCTCATCTAGACAAAAAATCAGGGTACGAGGTACATGCAAGCACTTGATGCAAGATACTCAGTATGTGTTGACAGTCAATCATGTGCTGGTAAATGTTTAACAGCTGGTTTCCTGAAAGTGTATTTATAAGTTTATTTTAAATTTTACTTGTTAATTATAAATAAACTTAAGTATATTTTAAGTTGGTTATAAATTTTACTGATATAGAGGATATGTAGTAAGCAATTTACAAATACTAATAAAATGTATAAACTTTTTTATAAATTCCATGCAGCCAATTGATTCTCACATTCTTTGTTTCTTGCTGAATTCTGGTGTCTGTAGCCAAGCCATGGTTGCAGTCCGTGAACCAGTGTAGTTACAATGTGAATGCTGGTTGATATTTTCATTTATTGTAAAGTGATGTGAGTGATTTATTTGTTGACTTACATAATAGTTTTGGTTACTGGGACAATATTTCCTCAGTTTTTTGTTATTCACAATGTGACAGTTACAGATATGATACACTTTTAAGTTTAATTAATGTTTTCTCCAGACTGTTTTAAGTCTCAGAAATCAACAAAATAGGAGTGCCTGGGTGGCTCAGTCGTTAAGCATCTGCCTTCGGCTCAGGTCATCATCCCGGGCTCCTAGGATCAAGCCCCTCATTGGGCTCCCTGCTCGGCGGGAAGCCTGCTTCTCCCTCTCCCACTCCCCCTGCTTGTGTTCCCTCTCTCGCTGGCTGTTTCTCTCTGTTAAATAGATAAAAAAACTTAAAAAAAAAAAAAAAGAAATCAACAAAATAATAAATCAAGTCCTGATTCATAGCATGTGCCAGTTTTTGTCCAAATGATCCCACTGTGGCCGATTTCACCCCATGTGTATAGTATCACTGAACACAGAGTTGGGAAGAAATGCACACCCTTATATTACCACACAAATACCATAGATGTAAATAAACAATAGTGAAGTACAGTAAAGTCATTAAGAAGTGATGACTTTGAGTATTTATTACCTTTGTTTTTAATATAACTTACTTATTTATAAGTTTATATAGTTTTATTTTTAATAATGCTTTGTTAACAACCAGCTCAAAAAACTACTGGGCATTTCCTTTTACAGCTGGTAGGTACAGCGCAACTTTGGCTTTAGTGTACCTTTTTATTTATTTACTTAATTAATTTATTTTAAGATTTTATTTATTTATTTGTCAGAGAGAGAGAGAGAGCACAAGCATGGGGAGCGACAGGCAGAGGGAGAGGGAGAGGGAGAATAGGCTCCCCGCTGAGCAGGGAGCCTGATGCAGGACTGGATGCCAGGACCCTGGCATCATGACCTGAGGTGAAGGCAGACGCTTAACTGACTGAGCCACCCAGGAGTCCCTAGTGTACCTTTTTATATAAGATGTAGCATGTATGATTTGCAACTATTAAAGCCTCATTTTAAAAAGTTATGGGATGCATAGATTATTTCTTTCAGGGTTCCACGACTTGATTTGGGAAGTCTCGTTGACTCTGATGAGGAGGTAATTTTTACTTGGTATTTACTATAATAAACATTTGAACACAGTATTGCATATAGTGTATAATAAGTATTATGTAATTTTATTTTAGAATGATTTTTCATACATCCCACTTAGTACTGCGCATATTCATTTTAACCCACCAAATTCATCTTCTGCTCTCAGTTGGGTCACACCATGTCAAATATCACATACTCAGCATCATCTAAATGAACTGGTTAGTAGTTATTTCTTATTACCAATTTTCAGAATTATAATGTGCGTTTAAGCACTGTATTTAGTCCAGAAATTTTATTATGTTCACTCTGTTTTGTCCAGTTTAAGTATTGTATATATTAACATCCCAATCATGTTGGTGAAATAATTCTACTTTGTTTTACATTTTTTTTCACATAGTAATAGTATTTTAAAAATGTCTTATACAATTAGTGAAGTACAGGTTTATCCTAATAGGAAATCCAGGAATTTAAAAAATATGGTAGAGTATTAGATCAGATCTTGCTGGTTTAACAATGTGATTTGTCTCTTGGAAATTAACTTATACTTTCGGCTACTAGTATGCTATGGAGTAACTAAGTAACTATACTTATTCCAAGCTATCTCTTTGGAACAATATTTACACTTCAAACAATATTTAGTGTTTTATTTTGTGTTATGAACACAAGTTCTGACCAGTATTCTCTGAGGAAGGCTTGCTTTTCTCTTTGTTAGTCTTTCTCCTGTAGCTGGTTCTATTTTTTTAAGCTTGTATATATATGTTATTTAAATATAAATATAAGTATATATTCATTTATTTATTTATTTTTAAAGAGAGTGTGTGTGCGGGGGTTAGGGGAGGGGCAGAGGGAGAGGGAGAGAGAGACGCCTAAGCAGGCTTTACGCCCAGCACAGAGCCCAGCACAGGGCTTGATCTCAAGACCCTCAGATCATGACCTGAGTGGAAATCGAGAGTCAGAGGCTTAACCACCTGAACCACCCAGGGGCTCTTAACTCGTTCTATTCATGTTCTCCTCTGTCTCATTTTGGATAAATTGCACCAGTAGTACCCTAGACTGTATCATGCTACAATTTTCACCCTGCAACTTTGTTTTATCTTTCTCTGGGTTAGACTTGGATATTATCAACATTTTTCAAGGGTCCTGCTGGCTTTATCCTCCTTTTGGAGTGGCTATCCCCCTTTGGGCCAATACATATGCCATTGTGTTTGCTTAGTACTCCTTTTAGATTTCACTTATCCACTGGCTCTGTTATCTCTTACTCCCATGGGAATGTGGTAGGGAACTAAATAATACGAGAAGGTGATATATCTGAAATTCTACAATGACAACCAGCGCTTCTTAGTGTTCGTGATTTCTAATTCCTGTAACTATTCTGGAAGAAATGCTTGTCAGTGGAGTTTTTCTGGGGCAGGAATAAAGGGCTTATCTAAAACTCTTAAGAAGAAAGAAAAGTTAAATTTTGTCTTCTCAAATTATTTTAGAACCAGGACTGATCTTCAGCAGGGAAACCAGGTACAAGCTTCCTGGTATTGAAGGCCGCTGCCCTTTCTGAGCAATTACATCTGCTTTGATTGCTCAGTGCTGCTATACCAGCTAAACGTTTTAAAATATCACCTCTGGGGGCGCCTGGGTGGCTCAGTCGGTTAAGCATCTGCCTTCAGCTCAGGTCATGATCCCGGGGGTCCTGGGACTGAACCTTGCGTAGTGCTTCCTGCTGAGCAGGGAGTCTGCTTCTCCCTCTCCCTCTTCCCCTCCCCCACCACTCCTACGCATGCTCTCTCTCCCTCTTTCTCTCTCAAATAAAAAAATAAAATCATTTTTTTTGTTTAAAGCTACATATCTTTGCATCCTGTCTTTTTTTTTTTAATAGACTATTTTTTAGAACAGTTTTAGGTTCATAGCAAGTTTGCATGGAAGGTACAGATATTTCCCTGCTCAGTGGGAACCTGCTTCTCCCTCTCACCCCGCTGCTCCTCCTGCTTGTATTCTATCAAATAAATTTTAAAAAATAAATAAATAAATATCACCTCTGTTTAGCACATAGATCATAATCTGTTTCTTAGGCATAAATGTTAAGATAAATGATAAACCTATTAATGTTAATAAAGAAAATTAATAATTATTTTGATTTTTCTGACAGATAACATACTTTTTATTTTTATATCTAGGAGCAAGACATAATACCTGAAAACTTGCCAGCACCAACAAGCAAATATAAACTAAAATATCAGCAATATAAAACTGAAGTGAAAGAGGGATATAAACAGTGTAGTCAGACAAATGCAGAAAAGACAAAATCAAAGATCACACAACAGTGTCCAAGAAACAAGGTAGATGACAAGGTAATGTATGAGACTTTTAAAGTTTTCATGGAATTTAAAAAAAATTACATGTACTATAGAAATCATTTTGTCTGGTATGTTTTGCTCTTAGTCATAGTAAGTATAGTAGCTAGCATTTATTTCTGTGTGCTAGGGACTATTTTAAGTATTCTGCTTGCGTTAACTAGTTTATTCTTAACAACTCTAAAAGTTTATTATTATCATTTTCAAATGTGAAAACTCTAGCCATATGACCTAGTCATCTTTTCTGTGTAAGGAGTTTTCCATTTGACTTCGGATTGAAAATAAGGCAGTATTAAAAAGCTGTTTTTGATGTAGCTATCTTGAACTCTGTTTGCTTCACAGTCTAAATTTTAAAGTTGAAAAGTCATTTCAGATGTTGCAGTGACCCTATTTTATTCCCAAACTGTCATCACTCCATGATTGTCTTCTGGCTCTTGTTGGGAGATATTTTTTAATATCATGAATTTCTAAATTTATACTTTTATTTAATGTTAATTAGGTGTAAATTCATCATTCAAGAATATACGAGCAAGCTAACCATAATCAGTTTAATGGTTTTCATAAGCGTAAAGGAAAGGTCAACCTTGAATTGTGGAAAGAAAGGTTTGGAAACATAGTTTATGATGCTCCTGGCCATGAAGGAGAGAATACTTAAATATAATTCTTAATTCAGTGAATTCTTTATAAGAATAATGTATTTTCAGGGAAGTTTGCTGGTTGTATTTTTTAACATTTTTTAAAGGTAAAAAGAATTGATTATAAGTAGGCATAGCATATCAGCTATTTTATCTAATCCATGTAGGAACTGTCTTGAACTGACTATATCACATGGTGTTTAGTGGAAAGAGTAACAAAATTAATGGATTATTTGGTCTCTTTTATGCTAAGACAGATTTCCAGATCCAAACAGATGCACACAAGTATAATAATCTGATGTCTGTAATAGTAGGCAGGATAATTTCATAGCCCTTTAGCACCTGGCCATATAGTTGTAGGATCTATAATGTGATATTTAGGTCACTATAATAATGTTGGGAAAATAGAATGAAGATTTCTATAAGCTCATGCTTTATTTGCTGCAGCAAAGTGGTTTAAAGTATTTTTTTTTTAAAGAGAGAGCACACATGTGCGCGCGCACACACACGCACACACGGGGGGGGGGTGGGGGGCGGGGGGGGGGTTTGGGCAGAGATAGAGGCAGAGGGAAAATCCAAAGTAGGCTCCACATTCAGTGCAGAGCAAGATGAGAGGTTTGATCTCACAACCCTGAGATCATGACTGGGCTAGAAATCAAGAGCTGGATGCTTAACTGACTGAGTCACCCTGGCACCCCTAAAATTTTTTTAAAGTAAAACTGGTTTCCTTGAACGTAGGTTCAAATGAAGGCATTTGTTTATTTTTGATTAAGGGAGGAACAAATATTGCTTGTGAAGCTTCCCATATGATTGGTAAATACTTGTATAGTATGAATGAAGTGTTTTATAGAAGCCAGCATATTCATGTTTTCTTCTGGAAAAATTCTGTTTTGCTCTGATTTTTAAAATCTACATATAAATGTATATAATTATTATTTCATATGCTCTTGATAGTCTTACAAAAAGGCTCTGGTTTCTCTACATAATAATTTTATACTTAATGGGTTCAAGCAACTTTTTGATGTCTTTTTAGATATATGCCATTATGAAAATCAAAACGACTGTATAAATGGGCTATTAGTAAATCCTATTATAATTACATTAATTAATACTGGAATAGTAATCTCTGGAAATAGAATTGCTTCCTGATATCAGAAATGTAAGCCCCTCCATAAAGCAGGGAACAACATGTAAATTGATTCTTTTTACTAATTAAGAAGCTAAAGTTGGACATATTTAGGATCTAGGACAATAACTAAAGCCATAACCACCATAATCAATCAAACAGTAAAATAAAAGTTCGCCTTGCTTGTCTAATGGCAAATTTCCTTTGTTGAGTTTTTCTTCCATTTAGTATAAAAAGCTGATGAATCTCTTGTTGTCAAATTGTTACCTAAGTCATAAACTTATATTTTAAATACTGAAACATCTTTAAATAAAGCATGAAAGTCATGAAACTTCAGTTTTATAGAAAATACTAAGTCAGTGAATAAAACAGACAAATATTTTTGCCCTTACAGAATATATATCATAAAGGAAGGACCTAGCAAGAAAAAAAATGAATGAATGAATGAATCAATCAACCCATCTAATATGACAGTTGGTGATAAATGCTATGGATGGAAGGGCACTGGGAAGAGCAGGGCTCAAGTTGGGACTGCAATTTGTACAGGATCACCAGGAAAGATCTTTCCCATAAGGTAGCATTTCAGCACACATCTGAAAAGGGTGATGCATAAGCCACTCAGGATAAACTCTTAAGTGTCATGAAGTGGGAGAGGGCATGGAGTGTTTAAGAAATATCAAGGAAAACAGTGTGGTCAGTGGAGGAAGAGCAAGGAAGAGAAGGGGAAGGTGTTAAGGGGGGGAGGCCTGGGAGGCAGATCTGTGAAGCCTTGTGGACTACGTAAGGACCTTGCCTTTTACTTGAGGCAGAAAGTTAGTTTGCTTTGTTGAGGATGGGTTTTACTGAGAATAGGACCAAGTTGGAAGCAGAAAGTTGTTTGAGGAGGCTGTCACAATAATCCATATGAGAGATGAGGATGATGGCTTGGACCCAGGCAGCAGATTTGGATAAGAAGTGGTGGTGATGAGAAGCCAGATTCTGGATAGATTTTGAATATTTGAGAATATTTGCTGATGGATTGGTTGTAGGCTTAGGAGAAAGGGATGATGGAGGAGGACTGTAAGGTTTTTGGCCTGAGCAATTGGAAGGGTGGGGAAGACCGCCAGGAAGTCTGGTTTGGGGAGGTTAAATTTGACATACCGAGTGGAAATGTCACTGTTTCCCTTTTGTAAAAGGATAAAAAACAACCTGAAACAAAATAAAAATCTTTTGAAAGCTTCTTCCAACCTGAACATAGTGCAGACCTTTGCTTATACTTAAACATATCTGTTAATTTAATCTGCTTAATTTACCTTATTTAATGCTAAACATCTTTTTGGTACCTGTTAAAATAAATAACTATGCAGGAAAAAATATATTAGGAGGTAAAAAAATTATAAAGTATCCTCATAAATTGATTTCCCAATAGTTAAAACTTTTTTTTTAAAGGTTTTATTTATTTATTTGACAGAGAGAGCAAGAGAGCATAAGCAGGGTGAGCAGGAAAGGGAGAAGCAGCTCCCTACTGAGCAGGGAGCCGACGCGGGACTCGATCCCAGGACCCTGGGATCATGACCCCAGCCAAAGGCAAACGCTTAACCGACCGAGCCACCCAGGCGCCCCTTAATAGTTAATACTTATACAAGATGCATTATTCATTTGTGAATAAGTATTTATCAAGTGCTCACTGTGTGTGGTCCTGTTCTGGCATCAGGGATATTGAAATAAAAATGACAGACAAGGTTCCCTCCCTCATGGAACTTATAGCAGGAGAGGCAGACAACATTCATAAACAAACGTATAATAAGATTTCATGTAGCAATCAAAGGTCACGAAGACAGAATAGAGTATGAATATGGAATGTGACCTTTTAAGAAAGGTCTAAAGTAAGAACAAACCCTGGAGGAAAAACTCTTGTAATCTATTAAGTTTTTGGCAGTTGCTATCCTACTGGGACATTTTTGTTGCTGTTGTTGTTAAAAGAATATAAGTACACCTTATATTCAGAGAAAAATTTAGCATTTATCTTTAGGATCCCAGAGGATCCTTTATCTCAAAGGGTATATCCCATCTCTTAGTACTTTGGAATTTCATTTTACAGAGGAGTGAACATGTCCATTTTTATTAACTTTACAAAGACGCACGTGGGCAATAATAATTATAATAGTTGTTACCTTTTATCTGATGCTTATTGTATGTCAGATACTTTTATAAGTGTTGGACACTTCATCTTTGTGTGTGTGTGTGTGTGTGTGAAGTAGTTACTATTATTAATTCCCCTTTTAATTCCCATTACCATGGGTAAATTGAGGCACAGAGAGGTCATCTAGTTAGAAGGTGGAAGAACTGCATTCAAATAGGACAATCTGATTATCAGAGCCTATAACGCTATACACAAATAACTATTGTTATGTGTTATGTATTGTTATGTATACATAGTTGTACATAAATAACTATAGATGTGTTCAGAGGTTATTTAACACATTATTTTGTTAAAAACAAATACGCTAAGTATGTGAACTAAGTATAAACTCTCAAGAATTCATTTATTGCTTTCCCTTACAGTGTATAAAAGTTGAAGAAGCCATTGTGGATGGTCTTACCACTCTGGATAGGAAAGCCCTCTTACAGCAGGGTTATGCAGACATCCCTTACAATGCACAAAGGAGTATGAGAAAATCTGATGCTGTAAGTTACCATGATCTTTACTTACTTCTTAAGCCATTAAGATAATTTGCCCTCCCAAAATGTTGCAGACTTAAAATTGAATAAATAATTACAACAATTGAATTTGTTCAGCAGTGAATGTTCACTAATGTGTAAATTGAATCCTCATTTTTACAAATGGTTGAGGTTTGGCATATTTACTGTGGAGAGATAGTCTTGAATCTTTGAAGGTTTGTCAAAATTTAGTTTATACTATTGAAAATGTTAATTGGCTGCTATTCTTGGCAGTGGGATTATTTAGCATCAGCCCTATCCCCAAAGTAACCTAGTTATTTTTCGAAAGTGATAAGCTAATAAGACTAGAGAAATTCCAGCAAGTTAAGTAAAAGGGCAAGAATAAAGTATTTTTTTTTTTTTTAGGAAAAGGGAAGCGAAACTTCTCAATATTAACTTTAAATTGTGTCTTTTACAAAATCAGTTAGATTGTTGGATGAGTATCGCTTAGGCCAGATCTGGTACAAATAGATAATTACATTTCTATAGTGTCCTGGGGTAATCAGACCAAGCTGCTTCAAGTTGGAGTCCACTGGTCACCCCAGACCCCCCCAGGTGATTAAGATCTTAGACATATTTGTAATGGATTGATGAAATACCAATGTGTGGTGGTTCAAAAGTTGGGAAAACTCTGGTTTAGATAGCCTAAATAATAATAAAGCGTTATGGTTTTAGATGGTTATATTATCATTATCACTGAGAGGAAAGTCACTAAATATTTTATTTGGATTACAATCACCCAGAATTAATATGTTCTCAGTTGACAGCAATGTGTAATCAGTGTCTGGATCATGGACTGATTTTCTGTGGATGTCTCAAGTTGCCAATTTGTTGTAGTTCTTGTACTAAAATAACAAACATTATTTTCTATGCCTATTATTATTTAGACATTTATGTTTAATAGAATAAGGAATATTACCAGGATTATCCTAAAATTTAAAAAGCTACTTTATAAGGCAAAATAGTCTTCCAAATAAGGCTGATTTTGATATGTTCCTGAAGTTGTACTTGAAATGGATGTTACTGATACTTAAGGCCCATTGGGTATTGTTCTTGGTGTCATCCAAAGCCATCTGGGTGTTAGTGGATTTCTTTTACTTAAGATCACTTTAATGCACTAAATTAAGCATCAAGTATTTTACTTTATTGTGGTAGCACATATTTATCTGTTTTTTTCCCAAAGACATGTTTGCATGAGTAAATTTTGAATGCATTTGAAATTAGTACTGACTTTATGTTTAAAATCTAGGTGGAAACTTTTTAATTTAATTTTTAACTACTTAATTGAACACCAGAAGCAGTGAACCTGTGGTTTTTATATCCATCTCTTTTAGTTTGCTTGTCATTTTTCAACATTATTAGATCCTTTGCATCTGTGTGACTTCTGCTTCTGCTTCTGCTTTATGTTTACACAGACCTCAAAATCAATGTGCCTGAGGGCGGTTCTGACCTTTCCTACAGTAAGCCACCATAAATGCCAACACTCAAGGTGGGCTTTCTGCATGGGCTCTATTCATTAATCTCCCCTTTTCTGCTCGCTTCTGGGCTTTGCACCTATGTTCTGGCTGACCTTTTCTGCATATATTTCATATTTTACTCAGTGTTCACCTTCATCACCCTTAGACATAAAACACACTTTGCAGTGACTGTAAGTTACCATACGTTTTCTAACTTTTTAATTGCTGTTTTAAATTTATTATTATTATTATTTTTTTAAAGATTTTATTTATTTATTTGACAGAGAGAGACAGTGAGAGCAGGAACACAAGCAGGGGGAGTGGGAGAGGGAGAAGCAAGCTTCCCGCCGAGCGGGGAGCCCGATGTGGGACTCGATCCCAGGACCCCGGGATCATGACCTGAGCCGAAGGCAGACGCTTAACGACTGAGCCACCCAGGCGCCCTTAAATTTATTATTAAACAAAAATCATTATAAAGTGTCATGAGCTTAGAGAACATCAGATGCAGTTATATGTTAAATGACGTGAACTATATTTATATGGGGCATATTTGGATGTGTAAACTGTATCTTAATTTCTACCAAACCCCCCAAAAGCCAAATTCAATTATACACTAACATTTAAATAATTGCACCCAAATTTCCAGGTTTTTTAGGAGTTTCTATGATATGCCTTTAGTCATTCTTACTTGGATTTTGTGTCCATTTTGAATAGAGTGCTCTCCCTAAGGTTACAAAGCCTCTACCATAAGCTACATTATTGTACTTGATTTCATTTACTGGCGTGATCAATGGAGATGACAGGAATGTACAGTGTACAAGCTTTATTTTGACCCCTTAATTTTTTAACCTTTTTCATTTACTCTTCAAAAGAAACATTTTAGTAAATATAGTTACATTATAATCTAATTGGAATTGGACGATTACTCATCTTTCAGTTTAATATAACCTAAAATGTAGTAAAAGTATTTTCAAATGAGTTGAAAAGCAAAAAACAGTGTGAAGATAATTTAATCAAACCAGTAATTGAGAAAAGTTGATCAAGTATTAATGGATATTATGCATAGAAAATATTATCCTTTTAATGACAGGAAGCTTTATGAAAGATTTTTATTTTTAGGTTTTTGATAAAGGGTTGAAGGATTCCAATTCAATTTTAGCTTCATCTACTACGAATAGTTTTAGAACAAACTCCTTGTGTCAATGTTGGTATTCTTCTTGGAGCAGGTTAAAGTGCTTTTTACAAGGCATCTGTCAAGGAGAGGGATATCATAGTCTCTTCCTCCTTTATTCTGACTCCATGAAATTCAGAGGCAGAACATAGAAATCTCTGATGATCTCTACCGAAATTAAAGTGCATTATTTTTTAGGAAATAAATGGTATTTTCAGATTAAATTTTTGGAATTTGTTTTTATAGTAATGATGGATATAGTAATCTCTATTTAAGAAGAAAGTTGGAAATTTAGCATGTATTTTAGGGTTCTCATGTTAACTCTAGTGTTGTTATGTTTTATTGATAATGAAATTTTAAAAATTTTCTCTTCTTAGGAAATTGTAGCTGCAGAGAGGAAGAAACAGACTGTTGCAGAGCAAGTGATGGTAGACCACTTATCTAGGTGAGAGTAAGTAGTAGTGAACGACAGAAATCCAGTCAGAAAGTTTTCGTTAAATTTTTTTTTATCCTTAGTCAATCACCAAGTGGTGACTCACCTGACTCTGAGGTTCCCACACGTTCCCCGTTCACTGCACTCACGGTGTTGGAGTGATGGTTTTTTACAGCATTCCTAGGCCAGTAGAAATACCCAACAGTTCTCTTTGTTAAGTATTTTTCTCTAAATAAGTTAAGTATTTACTTCATGACAACTTAATGGCCATTTCAAAGAAATAATACACATAAATTAAAAGAAAAAATATTTGTATTTCACTCTTAAATAGCCACAGTTATTTGTATGTGCCTTCTGGTGCATGGCACAATCTCTCAAACCTTAGGATTATTGAGGATGCTGTCATCTTCACTTTCAATTCCACAGGGCACTTGCTATTTATCACAGCAACTGTAGAAAATCCAGCTTTGCAAAGGTTTGACCTCACTGAAAGAATGATATCTTGTTGAAACTGTGAATGACCTTGAGCTGATAGTTCATGTAGTCTCCAACAAATATCAAGTATCACCGCGTTTCCCTCAAAAATTAAAAATATCCCACATAGTCCCTGTGAGTTCCCTGTGGCACTCTGGAGTGACATGGTGCACAGTTTGGGAACTGTGGGATTGTTAAAAATTTAAAACTTAATCTGAAGTTTCATAACTCTTAGAAAACTGTAAAGTGTAAGTACCTGCTGTGCTAAAAATTGCATGATAATATGTAAATATTGTAGGATTTCAGAAAAGGCTGAAATAGTCTAGGAAGTCTTCAAGGAAGAAGTAAGACTTATGGTTAGCTTTGAAAAAAATTATTTCGGTGGCAGAAAGATACTCTACATGCATATTTTTCAGTAACTGTCTTGAAATAATTAATTATACTTATAGTCTTCAATGTTCCTCTTTCTGTTATCTTTTGAACTCACTTTGTTGATGTTTTCACCCGCACCGTGCCACCTCAGCATGTCCTCATAAGATAATTCGTGGCGTCCGTGTTGCCCAGCTAATGGTGATTTCTCAGTTCTCATTTACTTGACCCATCAGCAGCATCTGTCTGCACTGAAAAGTTTCTCCTCTTTGAAATACTTTTCTCTTTCCCATTTAGCTTCCTACACACAACACCTAGCTGGTTTTCCTCCTTCCTTCTGCTCCTTCTCAGTCTCTTCCCCTGGTTCCTTTTCATCATCCCTGTCCTTATACATGGGAGTACACTGGGCTCCATTCTTAGACTTTTTCTAAGACTCCATTCTTGACTTCCTAACTGATCTCATCCAGCATCATGCCTTTAAAAAGCATTCATACACTAATGTTTCCCTGATCTAAGGTTCCAACGTAACGTTTGCCAATCTGGGTTCCTCGAAGTTCATTTCGCTCCATCCCCCATGACCAAATCCTCTTTAATTTTCCCCCAAGGCAGCTCCATTCTTTAGGTTATTTAGACCTAAAATGTTTCTGATGCTTTTGATGCCTCTCTTTTTCTCAAATCCTCTATTCAGTTTGTCAGCAATCACTCTCAGTTCTACCATCAAAATAAATTTACTCCTTCTGCTGCCATCATCCCTGTTCACGATATCATCTTCTTTCTCCTGGATCATTTCAGTCTCTTTCTAACTGGACTCATTGTGTTTGCATTTGCCCCTTGTTGGTCTGTTCTTAACCCAGCAGTCAGAGTACGTCTATTAAAAAGTAAGCCAGATCAAACCCTCCCGTAATTTCCCATCACGGTCAGAGTAAAATCTATGTATTGGTTATATATTACCACAAAACCAGTATCTTAAAACTACAGTGATTAATTAGAACTTGTGTATCTTCCAATCAGCTGTCCAGGCTAGGCTTGGCCAAGTGGCTCTTGCTTTTTACTTACTTTGGCCAGTTATATATGAACAAAAGCAGTGGTCTCAGTTCTGAGTTTAGGCCTTAAGAAGCCTTATGTGTTTCCACTTGCCTTTTTGCACTTTTGCCATCCTGGTGAAAAGAACACAGCTTGGCTAACCCACTGAGCTCAATAAGAACATGACTCTGCAAATGCAGCTGGGCCACTTAGCCAAGATAATGCCAGATGAGCAGATCCCCAGCCAGCCCACACTTACATGAGTTAGTTTAATTGAGATCAGCAGAGCCATCCAGCTATATATAATTGGCCAAAGCAAGTCAAATGGCTAGGCTCAAAGCTAAAGGGTGAGAAATTAGTACAGTACACCTATAATGAGGCCATGGCAAGGATGTGGATCAGGAGTGCTAAAAAATTATGGTCTGTAATATAGTTTACCCAAGCCCTACATCATCTGTCCACCATTTGAACTTGGACTGCTTTTCCTACTTCTCTCTCTCTTGTCTATTCTGCTGCAGACATTCAGCTTCCTTCCTGTTGTGAAACATACCAGGTTCACTCCTGTGTTAGGTGTTTTTCATTTATTTTCCCCACTGCTTGGAATGATTTTCCCTTAGAAATCCATATGGTTTCCTACTTACTTTGTTTCACGTCTTTATTCAGAAGTCACCAGCAGTGTCTCTTTGTTTAAAGAATAATAAGGGAGAGACATGGAGCCGAGTTGTCTCAAAAATTTCAATTTATATTTAGATAACACTTATGGAAAAAGAGATTGATAGGAATATTCACTTTTTTATGGCCAGAATTTTTTAATTATTAAATTTACTCATTCAGTGTCTGGAAAATGTATAATTCTGACAGTAGTGTAAATTTGTATTTGTAGATGAGCTTTTCTAGCTGCTTATAAATATGTGAATGCTAGAGTAGTGCATTATCATATTGAGTTGCCAGACTTTGTATTTTCCCATATAGGGCTGTAATCAGTGATCCAGAACAAAACCTAACCGCTGAGAGACAAGAAAGTGCTCGTATCTTTCCAGATTCAAAGATAGCACCTCATCGATTTAGGAAAAGAACACTACATGAAACTAAGTAAGAAAATTATACTTATATCAAATGAAGATATAGTATTTTATAAATGAATTTAAAAAAATGTACTTTTGTGTCTAACTGAAAAGATTTTTTTGGCTCAGTTTTGCTTTTTTCTATATGAAGGAGAGTGGAGTTTTTGGAGTTCGGATCCCACTTGTGCCACTTTAAGATATAGGGGTAAACTTTGCCCTCCAGGTTTTTTATTAATAATTTAGGGATAAGAGTTATAACCTGGGAGATAATGTATATGAAAATACAGAATATAGCAACTGAGACATTTATATATACTGAATCTCATAATATATTCAAAATTATTATTGCTTACAAGTTATTATTAATATTATTATTATTTTGCCTTTCACTTTGTAGCTTATAAAATCTTTGGACTTCCACAGTTTTGGGGTGCAGTCCACTTAAATTTCTCAACTACTTCACTGGCACTTGACAGCTAGCCTCAACATTAAGAGACAAAGAAAATCCATCAGTTCCTGCAGCAGTTCTTTCATATTTTCAGACTGCTATAAATGCCAAAAAGTTCTTAGAACTGTTAATTTTTTGGTCTCATTCTTATTTTCTGGAAGACTCTATTTCCATACCTTTAAATATTCAAAGGTATCATGTATCAACTTCCTATGGGTGCTGTAACAAATTACTACAAACAATACTTTAAACAACACAAATTTATTCTCTTACAGTTCTGCAGGTCAGGAGCCTAAAATCAAGGTGTTGGCAGGGATGCATTTCTTATAGAGGCTTCAGGGGAGAATCCATTTCCCTGCCTCTTTCAGCTTTTAGAGGCATCCTTTATTCCTTGGCTCTGGCCTTCCTCCACGTTCAAAGCCAGCAACGGCTGTGTTTTATCACTCTGACCCTGGGATCGTGACCTGAGCCGAAGCCAGACGCTTAACCGACTGAGCCACCCAGGCACGCCTCTGATACTCTTCTTCTGTAGTCAACATATCCCTCTGCTTTCTTCTCATAAAGACACGTGCAATTGCATTGAATCCAGCTGTATAATTCCAGATAATCTCCTCATCTCAAGGTCTTGAATCACATATGCAAAGTCCGTTTTATTGTATCATGTAATTGTAACATATTTACATGTTCTGAGGTGTAGGGTATGAACAACTCTGGAGGGTCATCTTTTAGCTAACACATCTAAACTTCTCTTTTCTAAAGTAAGCTTTTATTGAAATAAAGTATATGTCCACAAAGTGTACACATTTTAAGTGTACAGCATAGGAATTTCCACAAACTGAACAATGCTCATGTACCAAGTTCCTAGATCAAGAAATAGAGCATTCTTAGTACCTCAGCAACTTGCCTGTGCTGCCTCCCAGTTACTGCCCTCTTCCTTTGCCACACCAGCTTAACCTCTCGTCCTGATAGCGTGGATGGTAACTGCCTTGTTATAAACCTACTGAAATCACAAAATTTGGACTCTAGATATCTGGCTTCTTTTACTCAACACGTTTGTGAGTTTATCCGTGTTGTTATTTGTCGTTGTCTTTTATTCTCATTTCCATACAGTATTTCATGGTATTTAAATATACCACAGTTTATTCATGGATGTTGATGGACATTTGGCCTTTTAAGAATGGTGCTTCCATGAACTTTGGTGCATGTTTTTTGGTGAACGTATGTACTCCTTTCTGTTCAGTACATACTTAGAAGTGGAATCGCTGGAGAATTTAGTGTGCATATGTTCAGCTTTAAAAAATACTGCCAAATAGTTTTTCAAAGGGGTTGCTGTAATTAGCATTCCCACCAGGAGCAGTAAGATTCGTATTTTGGTCTTTACCTGCCTGATTCTTATTCCTGTATTGTTAAGAACTTGGGTAGAGAGAAGTGTTTGGTACTACTTACTGGATACCTAAAACACTAACACATTTATAATATAAATGTCTTATTTACTTCTTTTATCTTTTCAAGGAGACTGTAGACTCCTTGAAGCTGTTACTTCAACATATCACTGTTAAATTGAGTTCTATTCACCTTTGAGAAGCAATATAACGTAATGGTTATGAGCAAGGTTGGGCTCTGTCATGCACTAATTATATGACTGTAAAATTTATTTGTAAGATGGGATAATAGTACTTCATGGAATTATATTGCAAGCATTGAATGAACCAACGTGCATTTAAGTGATTTTAATAATGGCTGGTGTCTAGGGAGTTCTCAATAAATAGTAGCTGTTATTATTGCTGTTATTTTTTTGGCATTTAGAGTTTTTTCAGGCATGTAGTGAGCATTCAATAAACACATTAATACTAATAGATTAAATTGAATTGAGAAGAGCAATCTATCATGACTCCACTCTGTGTTCACAAACTCCTTTTGTCCATAGGCTCTTGTCTGTATCCTGCTTATTTTTCAGAGACCTTGATTTTATAGAGGTATTGCTTTTCAAGATCCCAATGACCCATACACTTACTTACTATTTACATTATTGCAGTTCATTATACCTGTAGCTTTATTGGAGTGCCATAAAATTGTTTAGGAAGGAGAGTAAAGATACGTCACCAAATCTTCAGATTTCTTATTATAAAGGAGTTTACTAGTAATAGGATGCTAAAGTGTGGACATTTGGGTTTTGTTTCATATTATTAAACAGAATTCTGGGACTAGCAATCTTTGTGAGATCATTTAGTGCCATCTGAAGGCCATAAAGATTACACAGCTGATCAGAGGTCTTACAGCTAGACTTATTCAAGGCTGGAACCTCATCTAGCACTTTTTCCACCATTCTGTTATTTTGGTAAGGTATGTTTTCAGCTACCTATGACTGAAAATTTGACTGATAGTGATTTAAAAAAGTCAGGATTTATTTTCCTATAAAACCAGCTGCCTGGAGGTAGTGTTGGTTTCAGTTCAGTGGTTCAGGGATGACACAGCTCTGGGCTGGCTTCCTCAAGATCTTATTGGCCTTTCTAACATGGTTGCCTGATGGCTGCCGTGGCTCCTAGCATCACATCCCTGCCACGTTTAGAGACAGGAACTGTTCCCATGCCACTCTCTTATCAGGACAAAAGAAAGTCTTTCCTCGAAGATTATGGACAGAACTTTGTCCCTTAGTCACCTCTAATGGAAAGAGGCCAGAAAAGCAAATTAGATGATTGGAGGGAGGCAAAGGAGAACAGGGTTAGAAATGGCTGCCAGTAGCACTGTAATAGGACCAGTTACAAATGTGCTATTTACTTGTATAGCACTTTGATACTGTACATTCTAACACAGAATGTATGTGTGTGTGTATTATACACTATATCTCAGGATTATTTCTCATAATATGTGAGTCTGCTTCAGTTAGCTAGCACTCTTAAAAAGGTTTATAACTTCATCTTCATTCTGTGCATTTCAACATATCAACATAACCGTTTTTGTACTTTTATCTTTTACATCAACATCAAGTATAGGAAACTTTAAACTAATTATTGACAAATGTATTTCTTAACAGGATAAGAACCCATTCTACATTAACTGAAAATATGCTTTCTCATAAAGTACAATTTGATGGTAGGGTCATATCAAGGTAATTATGATTTTATTAAACTTTTACTCCTATGATTATAAAACAATATTCTCTTCAAATAGAAATAACAATAATGAGATTAAATTTGTCACATTTAAATGTAAAATGTGAATTTAGAATGAATGTTTTTAAGTAATATTAATGTTACAAAAATTATAGGAACTATGAACCTATAAATAAGACATTTTAATTAAAAGTTACTTAAAAAGTGATTTTAAAATGGCTTTCAAAAAGAAACTTAGAAGGGAATTTTTTAAAGATATGTACTATTTCTAGAAGATGGTAAAGCATTTAAAAATTAACCTTTATGTAAGCTGCTATCTTTGATTTTCTTTGAATGGCTTAAATTAATAGTAGATTATTGATAGATGCAGGACAGTGAGAAGGAAGATGATTCTCAAATCTGTTACCTCTGTCTTAGAAACTTCCAGTCATACACAATGCTGATGTTTTTTGTGTATATTAAAGGTGAAGTGTGTTTTTAAAAATTATCAAGTCTGTTCAGTGATTTTAAACTTTCTATCACAAAGATAAGTGTCTATCCTTGAGTGGCTTCTTGCAAGGTCAACATTTTTTAGGGTCTTTCACTTTATCTTAAAAGTCTATGTCAAAATAGTAATCTACATTGTAATATATCTATATCCTATCAGTGTAAGATAAAGCTTTTTTCTCCATCCAAATCTTACTTAAATTGACACTTCAGTAAGCCATGCCATGTTTCCCCATAACCCTTGCTCATTGCTGCACATTCAAGAGAGTAAAGCTATTCTTTGACATACACAATTCTGGTTTATTACTTAGTTTGAAAATTACCCTATTTGAAAATCTTTAATATCATTCTGTTTTTCTAGAAATGGACGTGATGCTTGCAGAGAGCTGATTGGGTTCTTTTTTGCTCATGACCAGTCCCTAACAATTTATGAATATCGGCAATTTGGGAAAAACAGGTATGCCATAAAAATTGTTACAACTCTCAAGATGATTACTTCTGAGAGAAGCTGAATAACTTCACATTTTTGTCATTTAACTTCTAGAACAAATGTGCTTCCTTTTATTCAAAAAAACATTTATAGTCATCAGTGTGGACGAAGAAAAGGAAAACACTACCAACTTGGCGATTTTTATGTTGTAAGTGAAGTGTATATGTATGCAAATGTTTTAATGCCAGATGCTGAAATTTGTGGGGGTGTGGGGGTAGAAGGAACAGGGTTTCTAGTTTTCAATTTATTATCTCTACTCCTTATAGAGCAGGGGCTAATGGTTGATCTTTCCCTGGGAGGTTCTGCCTCTCAGGTCCAGATCCCAGTGGTCTGAATGTAAGCATATAGCATTTATTCCTTGTAACACTCTATCCCTCCATCACAAATCTGCAGTATAAGTTTGGGAGAGCTTGTCTCTTGGTGCTTTTGAAAGCTCTACAATTGTAGAGGCTGTACCACTGGGTAAGTGGCTACTTCAATAGTCCCAGGAGTAATGGTCCATGTCATGCAAGCCTATCTCCTGTAGATGCATGTTCTTCTCTATGCGGAGGGATACTTGGCCTCTGGAGCTATCACATATCTGATATTTAGCTTCTCTGCCTTGTGATTTCCCCACCTCACACAACTCCTGACTTATGGTGTATAACAAAGATTCCCTAGAATGGGGTCGATCATGGGTAATATTACAATTTTGGATAGTGCTCTTAAATTTTAAATTATTATGTTCACATTATCTCATGAGTAAAATTTAGAATTGTCCACATTGACCATCCACATAACAAATATCTGCTCATAGGCTAAGCATTTGGAGATCGAACAGTGACTAAGTTAAATCAATTCCCTGTTTGCATGGAGTTTATAGTCTGATGGGAAATACAGTCAAATAGGAGGGCCACATCAGAGGGGCAATGATTCAGTTTCGTTGGGTCAAAGAAGACTTCCTGGAGACAGTGCCGTCCAACATCGATCTAGAAAAGGCTGGGATAGACAGGAGAGAGGAAAAGCCTTCTGGAAGGGGGACAGCTTGCACAAAGAACAAACATGAAAGAGCCTGGCTTATTTGGAGAACTGGCTGAACTTTAGTTCACGGTGGGAGTTGGCAAGAGATGAGTCAGAGCTTATTAGGAGTAGCCTTATATTAAAGAGTTACCTAGAATGTATTGGGGAATCACTGAAAGATTAGAAGGGGGTGCAGTGAGGGGAGCTGACATTGTCAGGTTTGTGATTTAGAGAGAAAGATCTCTCTGGTTACAGTATGGGGGATGGATCAAAGACTAGGAGAAAGAACCAGATCGGATTGAATTCTATTAATTAGGAAGGAGGTTATAGCAACCTAAATTAGGCTAGTGGCTGTGGCTATGAAGCTAATTAGAAAAAAAATCTTAAAGTCTTCAGGAGGCAGAATCAATAGGATGTTGTGACTGGTTATGTGAGGAGTTGGGGATGAAGAAGAACTTTACATCTTAGACTTGGATTAAATACACTAGACTAGTCACTCCAGCCTCCCTCTCGAGAGCTAGAGAAAATCAGCTCCAAATCCCATTTCACATACCTGTATACAGAATGTTTAATGTCTACCCCAACATTCAAGTTACCTCTAGCTCTGAACTGCTGCTCCAAAAATTTAGTATATTTTATGATTTATTCTTACTATCCTGTTCTATATTACTTGAACCCGGTGTAGAACTCTGCTTCGTTTTATGATTTCCAAAAAAGAATGAGGTTGGGGGGAGATGGGAGAAACAAAAAGGAAGGGAGGGAGGGAGGGAGAGAGAGTGGAACAGAGGGATGAAGGAAGAAAAATAGGAAAGAAAGAAGGGAGGGAACCCACACACAAACCATATATACGATCCTTTGTGTGGCAGACATTTTGAAGGGACTATAGAGTGAGGTTTATATTGCAGCAGTGTAAGCAACTTATAATTTATTATTAGACATTCATATGCTTAAAAATATGTCCCTTAAACATTTGCCGTGATATAGGTCCTCCTCTCCGTTTTCTGACTCCTTCCATCTCTTGCTCTTCCCACAATCTTCCATTTCTTTATGCAGAAATACTTGGCTTATTTTTCTTTTTTGTGGAGGTGGGGGCGGGTCTTGTCTGCCTTCCAGGTGTTACTCTGGAATTTACCTTTTCACTTCTGTATGCCCCACGAAGGTGTTTCCCAGACACTCCCTAAAAGGAATTTTAGGCCAGCTGTTCAGATAATAGTCCTGTAAACGTGCGCATGTGCCCATAGATGCACATGCATAAAAGTGCACCCACACGTTCACTCACAAGCATGCATCTATTGCTTTGGATGCATGACTCAGAACTCATAGATGGACCCTATGCACACAGAGCTGTATACATACGTACGCTCATATGCATTACACTGCTACACCTATCACATAGTCTCTAATTGCTTCTTATAGTCATTTCAAGAGAATTGATAGATATTTTGGAGAATGGAGAGAGTACTGTACTTACAGGTTTTTTAAGTAAATGCTCCAGGAAAAAGAGGAAAGAAATCTCTCCCCTTATTTTCAAGAGAGATAATTAAGCCCCTTATTTTAAATTTGTGTTTGTTCATATTTGGCCATACTTATTTGAGCAACTCTTGGGGATTTTTGATAGGAATGTTTTCACCAAAGCCTTGCTGCTCCAATTAGGTTACAGTTCGTTTTACATTTATGTGATGTTTGTTGTCAAAAGACCAGGTGAAAGAGGGTGATGAATCTATTAGGTCATCAATTTGCAGTACATCTTTCTGTGAATCAATAGGTCTGTTTCTGAATTTAAGGATGTCATAATTTCAGTTAAAATTACTTGTCCTTTCTTCCTCTGACTCCTAAAAAGTTGGAGTTCTTATTTTTTCACATCAATTGTTAAATCTAAGATTGTTCTAATTGAGAGATTGACTGGGAAATTATTTCCTTTATTTTCCAATATTATTAGCTGAAGCCTGTGTGGTTTCTAAATATTCTCTGAATATACTTTTTTTTTATCAGTATAAAAGTATACCGTGTCAAACATAATAGAATTGAATATTTAAATTTAAATTGAATATTTAAAATTAGTGTTAGTTGTATTTTACTTCTTCTATACTTTCTAGCTTTAAAGAATTCATCTGTTAATTTCTTTAGGGTGCAAACTTGACATTTTTGAGTTATGATCATCCCAGACTTCCAGAAAGCATAAAGGAAAACACATTACTTATACTTCGGATCACTAATATTGATCAGATGGCTTTGGATTCTCTCAAGTAAGTCAAATATGAAAACACTATTTTTTATTATCATAAAATGATATTCTATCCCGAAGCATTTTGACTTTGGTAAACTTTATATTTTTGAAAAACAAAGCATAACTATATTTGTCTACTTCATGGGCTCTATTATACTCAAATACACTTTATGAGTAGGAATAGTTAAATTAAGATCAAAAGTATTCCATTTTATGTTAAAGGTGCCTTATTAATTTGCTGTGCTATAACACCTTTATTTTACCAAATGCCACCAAAGCAGTCAATTTTAAAAGGTAAGCTTATAGTACACTATTATAACATTTTCCACATTTTTTAGTGTAATGCTTTTGTTTTTTTAGCACTAAAAAATGTCTTGGGTCTCACATGATTATAGTATTCATTGATTGATGATTTGCATAATGAAAAAATAATGCTAATGAATCAAAAAGTGCTTTTATTTTTAAATTTTTATTTATTTTTATTTTTTAGAGAGAGAAAGAACAAGCACAGGGTTGGGGGAGAGAAGGTCAGAGGAAGAGGGAAAGAGAGAATCTTAAGCAGGCTCCACACTCACCAGCATAGAGCTCAATGTGGGGGGCTTCATTCTCAGGACCCTGAGATCATGACCTGCGCCAAATTCAAGAGTTGGACGCTTAACCGACTGAGCCACCCAGGCGTCCCTCAAAAAGTGCTTTTAAATGAATTTGAGTTTTTAAAGTCATAGAATAGATATTATGTAAAACGTATTATTTATATATATTTATATATATATTATATATAAATATATATAATATATAATAATATATTATATATATTTTATTATATATTATATATTGTATGTATGAACATGTCAGTTGCAATATATGTTATTTGTATATATCTTATATGTACTCTGATTTTAAAAATTCAAATTCATTTAAAAATGCTTTGATTCATAGCATTCACAGCATTATATATAAATAATATATATTTTGTATATATTCATATATATGAATTATGTAAGTAAAGTGTAACAAACAATCACATATAATCAATAAAATATATATATATATATTTTAAAGATTTTATTTATTTATTTGACAGAGAGAGAGACAGTGAGAGGGAACACAAGCAGGGGGAGTGGGCGAGGGAGAAGCAGGCTTTCCTCGGAGTAAGGAGCCTGATGTGGGGCCCGATTCCAGGACCCTGAGATCATGACCTGAACCCAGGGCTGATGCCTAACGACTGAGCCACCCAGATATATATATATAAATATATATATATTTATATATATAAATATATATATTTTAAAATCACAGAATATGTGTGCATATATGCTATTCTTGCTGAGTGTTTCTTGGTGCTGTATGCATTGCAAAATGACAATAATTGGTGTACTGTATGTGCATTAGAGGCCACATCCCATAAATTGGCTAAAGGAAGACTGTTTCTTTGTCATTTACCATATTTCTCAAATGAATGCAGTTTCTTTGGCTTTTTAAAATAACGTTTTTACATTCTGTACTTTCAAAGTTAAAACTGCTTTTAAATTTTATGGTTTTAATTATTCTAAAAGAACATTGAAATAGTTACAAAATGAATGTAATGTTGAAGGTAGTTCTTGCAAGGTTTAAGGATTTTAGCTCTTGATTTAGCATATTTAATTTTTCTGGGAATTATAGCAGCAAGTGAAACTGGACCTTGAGAAACCTCTAAGCACTCTTCCAACTCTGAGAGTTTCTTTGAGTCCAGAACAGGGAAGAGCTTAGAGTTTCCATACTGAAGATTGCAAAACAATATATTTTTGTCACTGTGAACATGTCAATTACAGAACTGATTCTGTGGAACATGAGGATGATACCAGCAGTCAAGAAACCAATGATAGGCGTGTCTTAAAGGCCATTCAAGGTACGTATCATTACTATTGTCTCAAGCAGTTTTAATTTTCAACAATTTCCTTCGCAAGCAGCAAAGCAGTATTTTCCAGACATTTCTTAGTTTTAAAACAAAGGCACTTGATTTATATTTCTTGTTTGCTTCTTTTTATGAATTTATACACTTAAAAATATCTTTATAAAGCAGATGGATTTGAAAAAAAGGCAAAAATATTTTTAGGATTTCCTCCACTTTAGTGATCTTGTTTAACTAGTAGTGTATGAATTATGAATTTAAGAATTTTAGAAAGTACTAGGTAGTATGGGTTTTCTGCATGAAATGAATAAAATGTAATTGATTTTTGTAATATAATACTTGTCTTATGCATGAGATGATATCCCAAAGTGATTTATGGCAGCCTCCTGTAAAAGAAAAAAATGCTAGCCTGGGAGCCAGGTTGATGTTTGGACTCAGCCATTTAATAGACATATTACACTGTGTAAATCTCTTGCACCTCTTTCTTCATCTCTAAAATGGGGATAACCTGTTTTATTAACTTTCCAGAGCTATTGTGGTAATAAATGAAATATATGCAGTCTTCGGACATGAAAACATGTTATGGATTTTGTTTCTAGAGTCCAGTCTTATAACCACCCAAGCATATGAGGCTCAAATAGACAGTTCCTTTGATGACTCTCATGGTCAAGAAGGAGGAAGACATTAAACAAGTAATCATAGAAGTCAACTTATTATTTATAAGGTTTGATAAATCCTAATTTGTCATTTAAAAATGATATGAGAATAAGAAGGCTAGAAACAGATTTAAAAGCTGTCTGGGATTGGGGTTTGAAAGCTCCCAATATTCTTGATGTCATTGTTAGTAAATCATTTTCTCTGTTCTGTCATGGTCAGCCCCGTATTTGTCACTGTTGAATCCAGTGACCTTTGTGCCTTATTATTTAATAACTGCTTTAGTAAAGTTAACTATATTTTCTTTAGTAAAGATGACACAAACTGTGTTAAGTGTAATTACTGACCTGCGAAGAGAATGCTAGAAGCTTGAGAATATAACTAAAAATTCCTAAAAGAAAGGGCTACTTTAAATGTGTAAGTATAAGATAGCACTACAAAGCCTTGATGCTGTTCAATATGTAAGTTAACAATTTGAAGATTTCAAATATTTTAGAAATTTTGAACTCATTTTTGAGTAACTTGCCTCACATCAGTTTTATAATTATAGCAAAGAGGAAAGAGATTAAAGATGTGAGATCATTAGATGAAGAGGAAGCCTGGAAAGCAAAAACTAAGATTTTATTTGTAACATGTAGATTATTTTCATGCTGATAAAGTGATCCCTTATTTTTCTATGTAACACTTTCACCACACAGTGGTGCTATAGTTCTAGTATATTTACGTGTGATTTTGTATATAACACTCTTTACTAAAAGCGTTCTACTTTTCAAAGTCTTTTGTCAGTCCTCCATACCATCTAGTTGCATATTCACATCCTTTATACCACTTACATCAACTTCAATTTTTCCTACGAGAGAACTGATATATTTGTATATAGGAACAATCAGTTTCCATTTCTCTTCTTCCTAAACAGATGCGCTAAAAGAACAGCTACACAAAAGGGGTGTTCGTATTTTGACTGGATTGGGAAAATATCTTCAACAATTGGACAAGGAAGGAACTGGACTTTTAGATAAGGCAGATCTTAAGCAAACTCTACAAGTATTTCACTTAAAACTGTCTGAAAATGTAGGTACTGCAATGAATGACATAGTTTTCTTAAGTGGTATTACTTTTCTATTGAGATTTTAGTAGTTCATCTGTCTCTTTTTTACAAAAGATTATTTATTTGTTTGTTTATTTATTTATTTATTTATAGCATGAGTTGGGGAAGGGGCAGAGGGACAGGGAGAGAGAGAATCTCAGGCAGAGTCCGCGCTGAGTGCTGAGCCCCTGAGATCATGAGATGAGCCCAAATCAAGAGTCAGACGCTTAACCGACTGAGCCACCGAGGTGCCCCCATGTGTCTCTTTCTTTTTGCTTCATAATCAGTGTTAGCCATCAGGCGACAAGTCCTGTTAAATTTGAAAATTTCAATATTCATTCCTCCCTCATGAACTTAATAAGAACCTAATAAGTAGGCATTGTTCTAAGCTCTAAGGCATACTCTATACTCTTAAGGTCTTCATAATCAGAGGAAAAGAAAGATGAAGGATTACAGAAGACTATATGTGTTAAATAGAGAATGCTTTCAGAACACATGGGATCAATTCCAGACCAGGTTATGGGGAAGAAGAGAGACGATCATAGCATTCCTGGAGGAGGGTATATAGCTGAGCTGAGTTCTGAAGGATGAGAGGAGTTAAACAGGCAAGAGGGGAGGAAGAACGTGGGTCAGACAATGACTACTTCACACAAAGGAGAAGCACATGTGAAGGCACGAAGGGGAGGGGGGCGTGTAGCCTGTTCTAAGAATTGCAAAAGGTCAAAACTGCCCCCCTGCCCTCCCATTAAGCAACCAAAGCTTTTACACATCCTGTTCCCTGTGCTGTGAGCAATCTTTTTTTTTTTAAGATATTTTATTTTTTATTTGACACAGAGAGAGAGTACGAGCAGGGGGAGCGGCAGGGAGAGGGAGAAGCAGACTCCCTGCTCAGCAGGGAGCCCGATAATGGGGCTCAATCCCAGGACACCGGGATCATGACCTGAGCTGAAGGCAGACACTTAACCGTCTGAGCCACCCAGGTGCCCCTGCTGTGAGCAATCTTCCACTAGACCTTTGCATGGCTGGATTTTCCATCCTTTAGGCTTTCTCTATGGGGAGCCCTACGCTGACGCCTCTGTCTAAAGGAGCGCCCCATCTGATCCCTGGTCCTCTGTATACCGTTTACCATTTTATTTTCTTCATACCACTTTGCAAGTATTTTCTGGCTTTTCTGGCAAGTAGAGTGTTAGTTCCATCAGGGCAGGGACCAAGGTGCTTCTGGTTTCCTGCTGTGTCTAACACCTCGAATGGAACCTTGCATACGGCAAGTGCTGAAGAAACAGCCTCAGTTTACATGGATAGATAAGATGTATGGAAGGAAGGAAAAGAGAAGAACAGAGAGAAATAAGCCTGGTGGGCTCCATTTATCTTTAAGCCTTGCATGCTATGCTAAGAAGTTTGGGTTTTATTCTAAAAGTAAATTTGAAACACGTCTACCTCAAGGGTTTCAGATCAGAGATTCTCTTGAATTGTTTTCTCTTGCTTCAGATGGTCTTGTCACAAGACATAGTGTATTTTGTGGCAGGAACACTGAGAATTGAATTTATGAGATATAGATTCAAGTTCTAGACTTACTACTTCAACGGTGTGATCTTGCATAGGTCTTTTAACTTTTTTGATTGACAGGCTCTGCCTGGGCAATCCACAGATAATACCTATGGTCAGAGTTACTTTGAACATCGGATGAGAAAATTACATAGGAATATGCCTTTTCAACTAAAATTCTGTGCCATTGTGGTGGTGTTTATCATTGTTGTGACATACCTGTCCTTTGTGTTTTTTACCGAGTTTAACTTTGTGGCCCACACTTAGTGACACATACTAGGGTTCCTCTAACTTTATCTCTTCCTCTCAATAATCATAATAATAGTAAAAACAGCAATAGAAAATTAGAAAACCTTGGTGTCTTTATCCACAGTCATACAGGTAATTAATAACTGAGTTAGACCTAGAGCCCAGATAGTCTAGGTCAGTCTAGTATTCTTTCTGCATCAACCAGTACTTCTCTTCTTGGTTGATTTGCTAAATTTTTGTCACTGGAGTCAGAAATAAAAACTAAAATAATTATATAAGACTTCTAACATAGGGAGAACATATATTATGAAAATATCAGTAAACTTCCCTTTTTCCCATTTTAAAAATAATATTCCCTCCTTTTGCCCCTATTATATCACTAGAGACTGCCTATGCAATGATAAACAAAAATAAGAACTCAAAAATCACCAATCTGGGTCTAATTGTGGAACTAGTTTGGGGAAAGCATAGTCATTCTCCTTAATTTGAAATTTAAAAAATTGATATGCACCATAAGTAGCCTAATTTATTAGAGATACTATCAATAAATTAAAGCTCAGTTTTTTTTTCAACTGAATTATCATTTTCCATTCTGTACCATATCTTAGAAAGAAAGACTTATAAATTTGTTGCCACTTTTGGTAAATTATTCCATTTTTGAAAATTATTTCTTTTAAGCTTCAGGCAATATCTTTTAATTCTAGTATTCCATGAGTTGGGCATGCAAATTCATTTTTTATCTGTATTATGTATGATTTTAAAGGTCAAGCTCACTTTTAAATTTAAGAGCACATTTTACAGACACTTAAAGTCAGTCACGTAGTGGGCATTATGACAGACAAATTAGGGGTTATTGAAAATTGGGGGGAAGCAGGGCATCTTAAGATTGAGTTTTTCTTATTAAAATTTTAATTGAAAAAAGTAGGAGGAAGTAGAAGAGAACTTTTTTGAGTCCCATTGTCAGTCACCTTGCTAGATATCTTATTTACAGTCTCACTTAAAGCTAACAACTTGACTGAAACTTTGAAAATATATTTATTTACCAGAGTTTAAGAAAACTCCATCTGTATTTTTTTGTTGTTGTTATTAGGAACTCTGTGAATAGAACATTCTGTTAAATTGTGCATTTGCAAAGAAGTAAGTGGCAATGGTAAAATGAACAAACTGGCATAAGAATTTACTCAAAATAACACCTTTCAGTGTGAATTGTGGAATAATATTGGAGCCATTCAGATCCTCTGTACTTTGAAACATGACTACCAGCAAAAATACTCTTAGTGGCCCTAATGCTATTGGAATCACTATAGAACCTGAAGTGAATTTTTAATTGTCACGTTTATAATACATTAAAAATAATAAAATGTTCAAATTCAAGTAGGTGGTGAGCATTTTTGTATAGAAAGGAATCAAACTTAAAATAAGAATTTGTGACACTGGCACTCTTAAATGACCCTGAACTTTACAGAACCGTCCACCACAGAGTTCCTTTAAATAGTTTTCTTAGTGCCTTTGTTTGGGTTTATATGTAACTTTTTGGAATTGTTAAGTCTGCTACTTTGGAGCTACAGAAGTAGTAACAAAATAGTATTAAGGTGAGTTTTGTTGTGGTCATATATAACTTTAAGGTGAAACAGTGGTCTCTGAATATTTCTAGGATTTTGAATCTGTGTGGCAAAGTCTGAATGGCAATGGCAGTGGCAAGGTTGATTATGGAGAATTCAAACGTGCCATTATTGGTGAAATGAATGAATACAGGAAATCGTTTGTTCGAAAGGTAACTTTATTAAGTAATCTTTTAGTTACTTTTTAAAAAGATTTTAAAATTTTTTGTTATATATTTGAGAGAGAGAGAGAGAAACACCCTCGCCCCCCCCCCACCCGCTTGCGCAGGCTTACACAAGCAGGGGGAGGGGCCGGGGGGAGGAGCAGAGGGAGAAGTCGACTCCCTGCTGAGCAGAAAGCCAGACTGGGGACTCCATCCCAGGACCCTGGGATCCCGACCTGAGCGGGAGTCAGACTACTAACTGACTGAGCCACCCAGGCACCCCTGAAATAGTTACTTTTAATAGAGTGTTGGGTTCATTATTTTAAAACTTTATTGAATTACCATTGAACATGTTTTAAATTCCTTTACCTGTAATTTATTTTGAGATTAATAAAATACAGGCAAACACATACATATACAAATCTACCAGGATAAAGCAAAATAATTTATGCGTATGTTTTAGGAACAGATTTTAAAAGGAAAATAAAATCTGAAATCAAATTTTGGTTCACAAATTACTAGTTCCATAAATTACTGGCTCCGAAAATGACTAGTTATATGATTATCTATTATTAAATATGTCTGAGCCGTAGTTTTTTGTCTCATAGAATTGGTATAAGGATTAAACTTGTAAATTTCTTAGCACTGTGGCTGTTCCAGTGTCAAAGCTCAATACATGTTATCTTAGGATTGTGACTAGAGATGTTTCTCTGGTATGCATATTAGCCAGCTTTCAAATGAAGATTAAAATGACTATTAAATTGGAATGAAAAACAGGAGCCCTGATTTTTTCTAAAAGATTTATTTATTTATTTTAGGGAGAGAGAGAGAGAGAAACACTCTTGGGCATGCGTGAGTGGGGCAAGGGGCAGAGGGAGAAGGAGAGAGGATCTCAAGCAGGCTCCACCCCCCATGCGGAGCTCACAACCCTGAGATCATGACCTGAGCCCGAATCAAGAGTCTAGGCTTAACCAACTGAGCCACCTAGGCACCCCAAGAGGTCCTGATTTTTTATACGAAAGTACATATTACTCAGGTTCTGCTGGCCAATTTTAGAGCATACTTTTGAGCAATGTAGTTTCTTTCTCTTTTGAATATGTACCTGTGTATAAAGATCTAATATTGAAACAAAGCTTTTGTGTATAGAAAAGTATAAACAACTACATGAGGTATAAATCTCAAATAGAAAATATCAAAATCTTTACTGGCCAAAAGACACAATAAAAACTTTATGTTAAATGAATTCATCACATAATAATTTATAAATTTGCATTTATTTGTACTTTACATGTCCTGGTGACGGATTTGAGTATCAGGAGTAGAAACTGGCTTAGGGCTTCAATGTATAATAGGGGGGGATTCAGCCCATAATAGGTACCCTATTTCTGTGAACACATTATTGTGAATAAACAAACTTGATTCTAGTTTTGACTCTTTCGCAAATGTGGGCTGTTGCTTTGGGTTGGTTGTGTGTTTCTATATACCCATTCCTCTTCCCCATAAAATATTTTTTTATTTTATGATACCAGAAATTGCATTGAATTAGAGAAGCAGTAAAACAACTGGCATATCAAAAGATAGTGTTAAATTTCAGGAAATAGAGTAACATAAGCCATTTAAAAAATATTGTACTTTCTTTTTGATTTTAGTGATGAATATTTGCATGTTACTTTTTGAATCAAAATGGTCCTGGCAATTTGTTTTGGCCATTTATCAGTTTCCTATAAATCCTAGAGCTGGAAGTTACCAGAAAGGTCTTTTACCCAACTCTGCAGTGTAAGAGGAGGAAAGCCAGGGCAACAGAGGTTAGTTTACTGTCTCAAGGTCAGGGTGCCAGAAAGTGCAGGTTACCTAACATCTTGCTCCGACATCTTCCTGTGTTCATGATGCTTCCTTCATATACCAGTTTAGTACTTTTAAACTGGCTTGTTTAGAGCTCAAGGATAACCTTCTACAGAATAGAGAATTAGGTTCTCATGTCTAATGATTTCATAGAAAAAAATAACATTTCTCTCTTATTTAGGCCTTTATGAAATTGGATTTCAACAAAACTGGCTGTGTGCCTATTATAGACATAAGAAAATGTTACTGTGCAAAGAAGCATCCTCAAGTAATTTCAGGTAATTATTATGAGTCAAAATGCATTAACATTTCTAAAATGTTAGTTAGTAAAAGTAATATCTTAAATTATATTAACTTACAGTGTGGACTTGAGGCCATTAAGGGAGGAAATAATTATTTTTTAAACCAGAAATATAAGAGCCATTTTACCTTCTTCGGCAGCAATATACTAAAAATTCTGAGGCCTATTGTCTGTGCTTACTCTTTTTCTTTGATGTTTATAAACTGAGATTGAACTTTTATTTCTTGAGGAATTTGAGTTAGGACAGAATGGTTTTAGAGGACAGATAATTACATGTGTAAGTTCTCTGAGTTAGTTTTACTGTATCTTTGTATCCTTGGAAGATTTAAGGCAGAAAGTGAAAGTGTTTCTCTGGGAATGGAGGTACACATATAATGGGCATACATACATCTATCAAAATTTGAGGATCTAGAAAATATCTCAAATATATACAGGCAATTTAGGATGGTTTGACTTAACAATTTTCTGACTTTACTGTAGTGTGAAAACAATGTGCATTTAGTAGAAACTGAACTTTGAATTTTGGATTTTGATCTTTGCCCTGGCTAACGATATGCAGTACAATCCTCTCTTATGATGCTGGCAGCGGTAGCCAGTCATGTGACCAGAAGGGTCAACAACCCATACACTTATATAACCATTCTATGCCCATACAGCTATTCTGTTTTTCACTTTCACTACAGTAGTCGATAAATTATATGAGATATTCAATACTGTATTATAAAATAGGCTTTGCATTAAGTGATTTTGCCCAACTATAGGCTAATTTAAGTGTTCTGAGCACGAGTAAGCTAGGCTAGGCTAAGCTATGGTGTTTGGTAGTATAGGTGAATTAAATGCATTTCAGCTTACGACAGTTTCAGTTTACAGTGGGTTTATCAGACATAACTTTATTGTAAGTCAGGGAAGATCTGTAATTTTAGAGATTCATTACCTACTATATTGCTTCTGACTTTAATTTTTACATAGTTGATTTATAAATAAATTATTATAAAGAAAGTTTTGGCCACAGTAACTCTCCTCTTTTCATCACACATTCCTCTGTAGAGGTAACATTTAATATCATTTAATATATATACATTTCAGTCATTACGAATTTTCATAGCTGTATAGGTACTGTATATATCAAATACTTGCAGTTGTTTTTTTTTTTTTTTAACATGACAGGTACACTAAACACACTGCTATGTAGTTTACTTTTTACACTCAAAAATATGTTTTGGAGCTCTTGCCATATTAATCCATATTGGGCTACCTTATTTTTATCTGTTGCATATTATTCTTTTTAAAAATCAATACACTACAATTTACCTAGTCTCCTACTGGCAGACTTTAAATTTCTAAGCAATGAAGCAGTGAATATGCTTATTTGTGACTCCTTAGGCTCATTTTCTGCTGTTTCCTGTCGGGGGGGGGGGTGGTTATTTCAATACCTAGAATATCTATGTTTCAAATTTTAATTGATACTTACAAATTGCATTATGAGATAGCTATACCAGATTATATTGCCATTAGTTGGAGAATTCATTTCCCCGACTGTCATGCCAACAGCATAGAATTTTGCCAGTCTGATAGACTAAAAATTTTTATTTGCATTTCCCTGGTTATTTGGAAGGTTAAACATATTTTTGTATATTTTTTGACCATTTGTAATTTATATTTTATGAAGTGTCTTTCTAATTTATGATTTTGATCGTATACTGTTAAATACTATAGAATACTATTATTCCAGAATTTTCCTTTAATATTTTTATTATTAAAAGAAGATACATTGTAATTATTTTGGTTTATCATCATTAACCCTTGTAAATGGTTTATTTATCACTTTTAATTATGAAGTGAAAAAACCAACAGTTTATTATAAAGATTAAAGCTAATCATCACTAGCTTCCCAATTTCTAATAGTCTCTTTTAGGTCAGAATAGTTTAATTTGCTTATCAATGACTTTAAATGAACTGCAGTTGCCATAAGAAAATTTCGAGCATTATTGGAGTTAGCATATCTATTCCTTTAAACCTATGTCATTCTCTGCTTTTCTTCTTTAATTAATTTTACTAAATATAAGAACAAGATAGTTTACTTATTTCAAAATTAGGTGATTTCAACATCCTATATTGTTTTTCTCTTTGTTTTCTCCCTTCTAATAATTTTAATTAAGTTGCTAAAGTAACATTAGTTTTGTTAGATGTCATTGAATTGTTGGTGAGGGTTTTGTTCTTGTTGGATAAGCCTTCATTAGTTTAAGAAATTCCATACCTCATCTTTGCATTACATTAAGGAAGATAAGCTAGTAGGTACAAGTAGTCTTAAAAAGAGGAACACCCATTACAGTTTTTTAAAATTTAAAGTTTAAAAATTTATTATTATCTATTATTACAAATTATAATCTCTTCACATGTCCATCTCTGTAAAATAAATTATTTACAATTTTTTAAAAAAAGATTTATTTATTTGAGAAAGAGAGAGAGAAAGAGTGAGCAGGGGGAGGGGCAGAGAGAGAAGGAAAGAAGTAGACTTCCCAACGAACTCGGAGCCTAAGGCCGGGCTTGATCTCATGACCCCCAAGATCATACCTGAACCAAATCTAGAGTTGGACGCTCAACTAAGTCACCCAGGCGCCCCTAGATTATTTACAATTTATAATTAATTTCAAATTAAGGCTTTTAGAGCACAATTTAACTATAGAAAATACTTTCTTTTTACTTTACTTAAGTAATTTATTAGAAAAAGGTATTTTCAGCTTTAATAGAAATGGGATGTCCCAAATGTATTTCTGTATCATTGTTTATTAAAATACTTCATGGTGTCTAAGAAGAGAGAAAGAAAGGTTAGTTACAAATGATAAAAGGTATGTATGTATTTCTTGGGTGGTGATACAGTGGAGGTATAAAATTCTTGAGTATTTGAAACACAAATTTAAATAAAAAATGTTTTCATTAAAAAACAGTATTTAATATATGTGCTGCTGAAGCGAGCACTAAAAAACAGTATTAAAACTCATTTGTTCAAAAGTATGGATGGTAAACAGAGGAGGAAATCTCTTCTGCTAACAGCTATATATTTTTATATAGATTAGATCTTGGTTAATTTTAATCCTTGACTAACAATCACAAATTTACTCTATTGTTTTATATTACCATTTCTGCAGAGCATAATTATTCAGTCCTTGTTCATTCAGCCTTTTTTAAAAATAAAATAATTGTTCTCTGTTTTGCACACATTTTTAAAAGACAGCAAACGTCTGAAGCATTTTTTTAGTCTGAAAGACACTTAACAGTGAATTATTATCTAAGTCCATTAGAGAACCTCTGGTTTTTAAAAAAGATCCAACTCTTATCCTAATTTTGCCCACCTCATTAGACAATTAAGGTGGCATTCCCAATTTAAGTTTGTTATTTTAAAATGCAACATGATTTCAAAATGATTTGAGGGTCATTTAGATTTTTCTGACACTCTTTTGCCTTTATATATGGGTCTCTATTTTCTTTGAGTATTATCTGACCATATTTGTAGCTTCCTTTCATCTTTTAATTCCTCTTATTAAAAACTTAATGCATGTCTTTTTTCCTTTTACATGCTAGGATCCTGGGAGTAGATCTAGATCCATGTGAATAGGGTAGCATGTGAGATTGCTCCTTCCCTTTAACTGACGACAATATAACCTACGCTACTTATTTAAATAGCTTATTGTTCTCTTTCTGAATTAAAAAAAATCAAATGAATTAAAAGACTGCATCAGATATTTTATGTTCTTTCTTTGTTTTTTTTCTTTTGTTTTTTTAAAGATTTTATTTATTTATTTGTCAGAGAGAGATTGCACGAGCACACAATCAAGGGGAGCAGCTGAGGGAGAGGGAGAAGCAGGCTCCCTGCTAAGTAAGGAGCCCGATGCGGGAACTTGATTCCAGAACCCTGGGATCATGACCTGAGCTTAACCAATTGAGCCACCCAGGCGTCCCTGTTTTTTTTTTTTTTTTTAAGAACCTTTGCCGTATTTTAATTGAATTTAAACGACTGTGAAAGGGTGATTCTAGAGATATAAATATTCTTCCTTATTTGCTAAAATTGACCTGCTTCTCCCAAATTGAACTCTGAAATATTCTTTTTAGAAGTACTTTTCAGTCACAATCTATGGGTGGAGACTACAATGTCTCAATCTCAGTAATACACAAGGTTAAGAATCTTAATGGGTATAGCATGGTCAAATGAATAATTTTCTTTCTTTTTTTTTTTAGATTCTATTTATGTATTTATTTATTTATTTATTTAAATTCAGGTTAGTTAACATATAGTGTATTATTAGTTTCAGAATAGTTTAGTGATTCATCAGTTGCATACAACACCCAGTGCTCATTACATCAGGTGCCCTCCTTAATGCCCATCACCCAGTTACCCCATCCCCCTACCCCCCTCCCCTCCAGCAACCCTCAGTTTGTTCCCTATAGCTGAGTCTCTTATGGTTTGCCTCCCTCTCTGTTTTCCACTTATTTCATTTTTCCTTCCCTTTCCCTGTGATCATCTGTTTTGTTTCTTAAATTCCACATATGAATGAAATCATATGGTATTTGTCTCTCTGACTGACTTATTTTGCTTAGCAATTATGTTCTCTCTTTAAATAACAAACTGAAGAATTGTAATTTTTTTACATATGTGATTCTCAGTAGCATCTTCCTATAGAATGAAATTAATCCTATTTCGTATGACGTAGTGGAAATAGCCTCCTTAATGTCAGAGATTAAAATAGAGTGATTTAATCCAGTGAAAATTCTTCTGACAAAGATTTTCATAGGCTTCCGAATCTTGTTTGCAGTAATATTTTCTAGCTGCAATTATGAGTAACTGATTCATAAAATAACTAATGCCTGAATATAGGGATGTTTTTCACACATTGCATTACTGTGTTAACAGCCTATAAATCTTTGAAATTATTTACTTGTTTTCTTCTTTCCTCATTTCTAATGGGAATAAAGCTGAGTCCTCTACAACATTAAGATATATAAGAATATGGACAGTAGTGACTGTTACTTTGTTTATACCTATAGGACACATCTGATCAGAGGCTTAAAAGATGCCTCAAATGTGTATAAAGTCATCACCATTAAATTCTGATTCATGCAAGAAAATGTTTAAATAAATTGGAGGGTATTTTGACATAAGATTTGAAACTGCTGAAAAGATTTCATAAGGTGATTAAGTATTTCTGTATCGTCATCAGTCATTTTACTAGCGTTTTAAGGAGATTGTTTCACAGTCGGTACTATCTTACAGGCCTTTCCACAGAGGAAGAAATAAAATTATCGTTTCTAGAAACATTAAAAGATGCCTGCAGCAAGTTGGATGAAGTGTCCTATGGTGAATTTGAAGATTACTATGAAGGTCTAAGTATAGGGATAGTAAATGATGAAGATTTTGTTAATATCGTACGTACTCCGTGGGGGATTTAGTTTTTTTAGAATGAGTGTGTCTTCAGCACTAAGCATTTTAAAGGAGAGATGAATTGAATGTAAAATATGGTCAAACCATGGAATATATTTTTCTAGGACTTCTTTTTTTTTTTTTTTTCTCAAACAGGTTGAGTCTGATTCTGGAAGGAGAAATCAGAAAGAGAGCTGAAGGGGTATGTGTCTGGTCATGAGCATGTCTGTGTGCTTGCCTGTCTTCTAAGTGTCTAAAGCTCTATCTTGTTGATTCATTACTTATCTTGAATAATTTTAAAGGTCATTTTTTAAATTAGCCTTCATAAGAAAGTTACATCTGTATCAAACTATATGAGAGCTTCTATATAGTAACCAAGTTACTCGTCCATTGTTTTTTGGCTACCCATTCTCCAAAATATGATTGCTGCCCATTCTCAATTTGAAGAACTGGAATTGGGCCCAAAAGCCTGTAAGACTTCAAATAGTTCAGCTTGTTTCAAACATATGAAAATGTTAAAGGAATTAGAGGATATGCAAGAGAAATTTTCCATGCGGTGTAGATGTTTTCTGTAACATAAATATTTAGAATGATGGAAGCTTACCCTTAAAATGCTTATTTAAACACTGACTTGTCTTGTGGATTCTTCTAAATTATGTGCTGTTTATTGTCCAGTAGAGCACAATGTAATTATTCAAGTGATCAGATCTGTTTGATCTTTTATCCTATTTTTAACTGCAATCCTTATTACCTACGCAGAATTACTGTTTAGCTAGAAACAATACAAAATGGGATGGAGAATATTTTCTTAGATTTTTAAATAAAGATCTCAAAAAGTGCATTATCCCATGTATGGACTAAGGGATAATTTAGTAATTCTTAACAAAATGAAAAAGGATGTTTTTGTCCTAAAATGAATGTATGTTATTCTAAACATCTCTTTTTGTTATGCTAAACAACGAAAACATTTTCTTCTAAATAGATATTATTTAATGGTTAGATATATTGTAATTGTCCTTTCTATTCTTATGTTGTTAGGTCATATTTTCTTGTGAATATAATCAGAAAATGTATAGGCTGTCATCTTGTAAAAAAAGGGAAGATTCTTCTGGGATTTAACATGTTAATGTCACAGCATAGTCTTAAATATCCTCCACCCTTTTAATATAAATAATCGTCTGTGTTTACAAAAAGTTTCTCTACTTAGGAGCTTAGGAATAGTTAATTTCTCATTATTTTACATTGTTATTTCAGTGTAGAGTTAGAAAATACATATTCAATATGTTATTTGTGTATTTTGTTAAATTTTAATTGGTGGCACAATAAATCATTCTGCATTTGCTTTACTGTCTGAATTCTTTGATTTTGGTACAATAAGATCTATTATTTAGTATCCAGTTTACTAGAAGAGCATTTAATTACGTAGTTACATTTTCAGTCACCCACAACATAATAACTGACATTTGAAATTCTATGCTTAACAGTCTTCAAGAGTTTAAAATATCTTGATTAACTTTAAAATATTAAATATGAAATTATATGTTGTAGTGATGTTACGTGAATTTTATAGTCAAGTTTATTTCATCATTCTTTAGATCTTTAAAAGGTTTTTGTAGCATAGAGTTGCTTCCATACTGTTTATTGAATTCTACATATTAATTTTAGCATCTCTATTCTTATAAATAAGATTTTACGGAATTTTTGGGAAAACTCAAACTGTATTAGAAAACAAAGGATATTATTTAGGAATTTTAAGATATATTTTAATTAGGAAAGAATATACATTTGAATGATAGGACAACTAGAGCATAATATAGATAAAAGTATATGTTCCTGTTTTAAATTTTATAGCAAAAGACCATATGTACTTAATGAACAAGTGACTCTACACAGGGTAGAGTCACTTAAAATAATCCATAATTCTGATACAGCTATAAAACACATTTTATTAATTACTTTGATTTCCAGTCAAAGTTGTGAATTACTTCAGGAGAGATGTGTTTAATAGGCTATGCTTACTGCAGATTATTTAACATGCATATATATGTGAGATTATGGTTTATAGTGCTTGAATAAATAAAATATGTACTGTGATAAAATGTAGTCACTACTAGGTTGGCCAGCAAGGACAAACATCTATAGTGAAAGTGCTTAAAGAAGTAGAAGGAATTGAACCAACATAACAAGCCGAGCAAGAGAAGAGCATAGAGAATTCGGTGGGTTGATAGGAAAGGGTTAGAATCTGATAATGAGGAAAAGCTCCTGTTATGGCCTTCCATTTTTATTTTATGGTCATACAGACTTCTAAGGAAAGCGTATTTTTTGAATGCCTTCATATATAAGTGCCTCATGGTATAGCCATTGTTCATTTGATCATGATTTCATTTAACCAGTCATGTAAAAGGTTGACCATTTAAGCAACACGGAGGGTAAGGGCGCTGATCCCCTGTTTGGTTGAAAATCCGCCTATAACTTTTGACTCCCCCAAAACTTAAGTACTAATAGCCTACTGTTGACCGAACCCTTACCAATAACATATATAGTCGACTAACCCTTATTTTGTATGTTACATTATATACTGCATTCTTCGAGTACAGTAGAGAAAAGAAAAAGTTGTTAAAATCATTTTCAATACTGTATCAAAAAAAATTCTAGTGTAGGCAGACCTGCACAGATCAAACCCATATTGTTCAAGGGTCAGCAGTATTTACTGTGTGGCACTATTCCATGCAATTTCCAAGAGTCTCGATAGTCTAGATTTTTCTCACATGCTGTATATCCACTTTGTCTCAAGTCCTTTGGTTTCTTACTTTTGAATCCATCCTTTTCACTGTTCTCAATGCCTATTCCTTTGCTCAAGCTCTTACCACCTTTCATGTGTATTACCCCCACATCAACTCTGCCTCCTCCCCAATCCTACTTTAACCCATCCTACACATTGCTGTTAGAATGATCTTTCTAAAATGTACTTCCATGATTTAAGTCCTTCCACGGTATCCTATACCTTTAAGAGAAGTTCAGACTCCTCACCTTAACACATAAAACCTAAATAGCCTGGTCTCCCTAAGCTCAACGCCCTCTCCACACTCCACTCTCCTTGTCCCCCCAGCCATTCAGAGCTACTTACAGTTTTTAAACTAGATTGTGAGGCGTCAAACCTCTGTGACTTCAGAACTGCTCTGTTGCTTTTGTCTAAAATGGTTTCCTACATTAGTGCATCGAAGTTAACTCACACTGATTTTCTAATACTACTTCAAGAACCATCTCTCCTGGAAAGCTAAAGCAGAGAAACTCTTGAGTCTGATATAGTTGTCCTTCTTGGGATCTCAGAGGCAGCCTGTATGAGCCCTTCATCCAGCATTTATCACTTCATACTATAGTTTTTACTTCGCTCGTTTTCCCACTGATTTTTGTAAGCTTCTTGAGGGTAAGAACCATGTCTTATTTCACTTTATGAGCCTGGTATCTAATGCAGGATGCCTGACATGTGGTAGGTGTTCAACCAAAATTTGCTAACTGGGTAAGTGTGATTTTGAGCAACAATTGTTATGGTTCTTAATTTTAACACTGTTGCTTTAAAATACTGTAGCATAGACTATTGAATAGTATGAATGTGCACATTAGTGCAAGCTTCAATTATGGGGGCAGTAAGTTTCCCTAACAAAGAATGCACAGACTGGAGGTGGTTCAGTTAGCACTTTATCAACAAGACTTCACTACTCCAGGGGCTACCATATTCACTTCAGCTGGAATTCAGTCAGTATTTGATGCCTATAGAACTAGCCTCCTAAGCACAATGGATTTGATCCATAAAAATAGGGCATCATTGAATCCCTAAATGGTCTTGTGTCCACCTGTGGATTAGAACTTCTGGTTGCCCAACTATAACAGTACGGTAACCAGATGCCTCCCCTTGCATGTGCTGTTGCTGCTTCTGGGGAGCTTTTGTGCACTGGGATGGTTAGGGCTCCCAGTGGGACAAACTACTGGGATTTCAGTGAGTTTACAGATTAGGTTGTGTCATCTCCTTATGCCTCCTTGCTAAGAAATGCTCGTTTGTTTGTTAAAGATTTTATTTATTAGAGAGAGAGAGAGAGAATCCTAAGCAGACTCCACGCTGAGCATGGAGCCCAATGCGGGGCTGAATCCCATGACCCTGAGATTATGACCTGAGTGGAAATCAAGAGTTGGAAGCTCAACTGACAACCACCCAGGTGCCCCAGAAATGCTTGTTTAATAAATGTCTGTATGTGTGGCAGAATTTGGTCTGAATTTCATTATAGTTGGGTAGGAGGAGTAGCTAGTTCTCCCCAATCTCAAAGATTTTTGGCTGGGGGACTCTGGGGGGAGGTATCACAGTTTACCATAAAAAACCCTATTGTGCACAACTAAATTAGCTATTCTTAATACAGTTGTCAGTTTGCAGCTATAATTCTCTATCAGACACCACATCACAGATCCAAATATAGCATGGCACAATGCCTGAGGTAATAGACTTAAAAATTTAAATACCCCTAGTTCATGATTGTTATAATACAGGTATAAAGTAGGCATAGTGGAACATGGAAGAACTTTTTGTGTCATCTCAGGGAGGTAATAATAATAATAATTCATCCCTCTGAAATCATGTGATATATATTAAGATATTATTGAGATGGCATTTCGAATGTTCTATAGAAAAGCCGAAATGGTAAAAATTTTGGAGATTTGATTGTATAGATTATAAAAATGTATTAGCAGATACACATTTTCAGATTTCTTTCTTCAGTAACCTATGTGAGCTAATTTGTGTAGTTTTTGGATATCTAAGCAAGGCAAAGTTATTTGGAAGGATTTGAATAAAAGAATTACCCATCTGGTGACAAATTTTATGCAAGGTCTCTTGTGTTTATGTATTCCTTTTATCAGGTTAGGATGGGATTTCTGAGCTATGGCTGAATAAGTTTAGATATAAATGAAAAGATTTTCACCTTTGCAACTGTATGTTGAGTTTCCTGGGATTTTCAGGTGATGAGAAAGCCAATGTGGAACAGGTGACTATATTCAAGGAAATCATTATATGTCACTTATGAAAGTTGCACACTTATCCAGTAGTTGAAGAGATTCGTGTAGAACTTAAGAAAATACATGTTGTCAAGGAAAGGTAATTTTGAGGATATATTCAGATGACCACTACATCAAGAAAAAGCATGTACTTTAATATTTTAACATAAATGATGTGGAAAGGGCACAAGCTTTGAAGTAACAGAATAATGAATTTCAAAAGTTGAACTCTGCTACAAATTAGGTATGACTTTGGGAAGCTACTGAATGTCACTGTCTCTACTGAAGGACTGACTGACTATAGGTGTAAGTATGGATATACTTAGAGATGTAGATGTAGATATATATCTAGGTATAGTGCTTAGCACAATCTAGCAGACAAATGTAACTCAGTATACATTTATTTCCTTTGTGTTTTTTGCATGAAATAAAAAAATAATGAAGAGTTTTCTTTATTTTTTTCTGATTAATCCCAAATGGCCGTCATTAGAACCATTATTTTAAAGAGAGATCAGTTTTCTTCCTTCATCAGAGCCCATGCAGGAAATCAAAATCTTATATGA